TAAAAAGAAGTCTTGAAAACCTAGAATCTAAATGTGATCAATCGGGTTCTCAGTGCAAATGCACTGAAGTTGTTTTGTAATGTTGTAAAGTACTAGGTAATGTTTTTAACGTATCGCCTTTCACGCTCAGAACAATGAAATACATTACATTTGCATTGCATTACAGTATCATTACACGCTAACCCATACTGTGTACATCCATGGACAGACCATCGACTTTCCTCGGCAAGGGCGACCGCACTTCTCCGAGAACGGCCTAAAACTGAGAGCAAAACTACAAATGGGTCAACAGACTGAGGCGATGAAGCTGTGAATGTGAACATGACTGACCTTCAAGGCTGTGATTTTCGCTTCAGCTTGGCCGGAAGCCTTTTTGTAGCTCTCAATTTTATGTCGCGCTGAGCCACATTCCTGTAAAGTGCAGAGAACGGCTTTTGTCCAGCTAAAAACGAATGCTACGTTGATCTGTCCACAAAGGGAAGATGAATTTCATGTGCGACAGTTCTTCCCACAGCGACTTATTGCTATTCAAGGGGTGTAATCGATAAATTGTGTCTCAAGCTCAGTTCAAGCATATTTTGTTGTGCTATGTGGCATGTGGGCAAAGGCAGTACAAATTCTACTTCCCCTTTTTGTCCAACTAGGGAGGGAGCTTACCGCCTGATATTCTTGTGCCCTCTTTTCCAAATCCAATTTCTGGGAGCAGTGGTTGCGATGAAGCTCCTGTATCTTTTCGCGGCAACAATCCTGCACCTCGGTAATCCTGGCGGACTGCGAGGCCGCGTGGGCATACATTTCTTCCTCCAGACTCTTTATGCGCTTCGCCTGAACTTCTGCGAGACTGCAGATCTTCCCTCAGAGGCTGTTAACGCGAAATATTTGGAGGTCTACGGATTTCACGCCCACGAAATGTTATCCGATATCAATAGTATTTGGAATGCACCGAATAGGTGCCTTCACAGGGCTTAGGTTGTCTCCTCACTTTGGCATGGCAGGTCAATCCGTTTTCTTCTTGTTTCAGTGGCGGATTCTTCCAGTCTGCGAGAATAGACAGTGAGGGGGTGGCATACAACATTGCAACGCAAACTCAAGTTCCTTGGCTGTTTGTAGCTGTGACGGAGCTTCTTTGGTTTCCTGAGTACGATTGGGTCGAACCTTTTCAAGTACACCACTTCTTTGTCCCTTTTTCCCATGTCCCTCAATGTGTTTCTCCTGCAAAAGTGCAAATTTCTAAATCAAGACAAATATTAGGAACGAGTCTACGTAGCAGCAATAAAGCCTACACATAAGATGGGCAGCAGCATGCAACTGGATTGTTGGTAAACAGCTCCAAGATCTGAGTTTCTCACCAGTCTGGGTGCTGTATCGGATTTACGAACAATGATTGACAAAATCTCAATTCACATTTTTTTAATATCGTTGGAAACCATGGCCATTACTAAAGAGAGTTGTGAAGCGAGAAATAGGTTCTTTGTTTCCAGAGAGATTTACCTGAGGTACGAACGTCGAATTCATGCAATTTGCTTGTGAGACTGACCCGCCAAATTCGCACCAGCATTCGACCCCAAAAGGCTCTCTTCTGCAAAATCTAAATACCTTGCTTCCGGGGAAATGTTTTCGCAATCCGCATGTCTCCCAGCCATGGCGGCATCTGGTGTCTCCCGTCCCACAAAGGGCAGTGCTGCGACCGCAGAGCGAATGCGTTCCATCTCCATAGCTACTGCAGCTTTCAAATCTTCGAGCCCCATCCGGACTCCCGACAGGGCCCTCCTTGTGGCTGCCCCAAGCGCTTGAGCGCTCGCCATTCTGCCATCCCCCGATTGATCTGAGCTGGGCGACATGCTCCAAGTGAGTCGCGAGTCTTCTGGATGTTGACTAATACCTTCAAGATAAACGCCTTGTTGAGTTTTTTCTCTTGTTATGCATAAGGCGCAGGGAGGCAGGGGTGTAAATATAGGGTTACAAATATACACAACAGCGTGGCAAATTGTCATCAAATCCAGTATCGTCTCTGTTTGAGCTCCACCCTGGAGATGGTTGTATTGGAAATTCGCACGGAACAGACACGACCGTTTCCGTGGTAATACCACAGAAAAAAAGCGTTGCCCTTCACGCTCCACTGCCTGTCGTATTTTGACGGACAGTGTTTGAGAAATTTCAACTGAAAGAGCAATGAGTCGTTTGGATATGAAGCTCTTATCCATCCCTCGAGCCGGCGGCTACACGACGTGCAGGAGTGGATTTAAACAGGAAGGAGAGCTACACCTACTTTCCCGCCTGAATTGAATTGTCACCTCGAGTGCTGCCTGATCTTGTATACGTTGTCATGGAAAGGTGCAACATTAGCGAAACAATAGTTGACTCATGGTGTACGTCGTGTGTTTCACCAAAAAATTGGCTTGGAAGGAAAACAGTGCAACCTCGGCATCAACACAAAACGTGGGTGACAGCTTGGCACCAAAGATACCATTCTGTCCTTCAGAGTTTATTGACTGATTTGGTGCGCTATAATACCTCGTCCCGCCCTGACATCGCTGCCTGGGTACGCCGCTTGAATGCTGTTGAGCTGCGCAGTCAGCCGAAAAGTGGGCTGAGAAATCGGGAGAAGTCCACACAGTCAGAGCAATGGTGGACGTGCAAGACAGACCCCAGATTCTGGAGCACTTGTGCAAAAGCCTGGCCGTGACCATTTACGACTGCAAGTGAGAACTCCGAAGCTTGTGTGCGGCAAAATTGACCATAAGTTTCAGGGTGTCAGAGCTTTCCGACCATAACAGGCGTCGGGAATGTCAAGTTTCCGTAATGGTGTCGTCATATCCGTCCCAGTCGCGCAAGCAGGTGCCGACATATATTTCACGCATGTGCATCAAAAGCGCTTGTACATTGGCCACAATTCTCACGGCCTGGATGCTGAAACCAGGCTGCAATCGGATAGGAGTGTTTGACGAAGTCAATATTGGCCGCACTCTAGCACAGGATGTCATTCGTTGATGATAGAATGGGTGAGCATGCACATGCCTCAGAGAATGGCAGGTTTGGTTGGTTTTCGTTAAAACACAAGTGCTGTGATATGCGTTTTCCTAATGGTGCAAAATTGCAATTGGAAGTCAATTTTTACATAACTACACAGTGGAATCGACTTCATCTCTCCAAACCATCATGTGTGCAGTTGCCATGGAACCTACTGGTGCTTCTTTGACATGTCGTCGCATTAACGAAAGATCTTGCGCAAGAATTAGAGACTCAAATGACTGTGCTTTGTTGCTCAGGTGGGTTCCCAGCAGCGCGAGGTTCGTGATTTTGGGGGCGCACCCCAGAACTACAGGATGCATTCAGGTGAGTCCACAAAACACACAGGCCATGATCCGGGAGTGGGTGTCAATGATCATTGGAAGCCACACCAGGGAAAAAGTGCCAAATAACACGTGTTCAAACGTGTACAAAGTCTACGGGTTTGGGTTATTTTGTGTTCTTGGCGTGCAGAACTTTGATGAAATGTGTTTTATGTGTGTTCGCAAAAGTGTTATTTGGTCCCTGTTTTGCTAATGCCAGTTATTCGAAAATTCTCAGCACACGCGAAGCTACATTGTGGCGTAGCTCAGTGGTAGCCCGAGTGTTGATCATCCGCAAAGAAAAACGTTCTGTACGAAAACCGCAAATCATGCGTTTCAGGCTCATAACTTGTGTACAAGTTATGCTGAGGTACACCTCAACATTTGAAAGTTGGGCGGGGTTGGGGATCGCCTACTCTAATAGCCCGTTTTATTTCTCTTTTTAAAGTCATGTGTACACTGAATTGCCTTTCACACGAATATATGAATATTTTGCGATTTACCGAGAGATGCGCTATCATCTCTGAGTACATGTAGCCAATCATTCAGAGAAAAGCAGCGCGGAATGCAGGTACATGAACACAGATTGAACTTACAAAGAGGAAGCGGCGCACTACCCCGATAGATACTTTCCTCAGGCGTAAGCACATCGTCCACAGAACCACGTGCAGAAGTTTTGGGCTCACTGCCTTTGCTTCGCGAACAATAATGAAGACGGGTTTCCCATTTCAACCATCGTGAGAGACCCACACGCAAATAATGTATTGCGTGTTCCTTGCCTGTGAAGTCCAAGGCGCTTTGCGCAAAAACCCGTCTAGTATTAATAGCACACCGACGCAAATTCTTCAGTACCAAGTGTTGCGCCTCATACGCAACTTGGTCGGAGGGATGCCTTGTACGAAACTTACTGAAAAAGGCAATGAACCGCGATTGCGCAGATATACGAACTTCGCGGAGCCGATTTGAAGCTCTTGAGGGATGTGGAGAAGCCAGACAGCTTCAAGTGTGGCACGTTCGGCGCTTCATCACTGACAGACCGCAAGATGGCCACGGGGAATTTCAAAGGCAGGCTGCAGATGTGGGATCTTGAGTCCACACGGCAGCCGGTGTTTGACGTTCAAGCGCATGCATCAATCGTCAACGCAATCGATGGCTGCGGAGGACAGGTGTGCTCGCTTTCGGCACCTCGGCCACTTCAGCCAGCAGAGTGCAACTCCGAGCTGCAAACCTTCGCAGTACAGGCCTGCGTAAATTGCACGAGTGTTTCTGCCTCTCAGCGCTTTATAGTGCACGGATGTGGTTTCCAACCCTGCATGTCTCTTAATCGAAAATGCGAACGGGATAGTGTACAGGTATTTCTGTATGCACCTGTAGGATTCGCGGCCATCAAATTTTGTTTTGAAAGGCGCTCGTTGCCTCATCTTCGCTATGAAAGTAAGGTGAATAATGCAATATTGATCTCTACTATATGCATGATTTATATCTTCAAGTTAGACTACAAGTTTCACTTGCTAATGAAGCATTGGGGATACGCACATCTCCTACTTGCCAACAGATGTTCGGTTGCCAAGTTCCAATGGAAACCAAAAAATTTGTGCGGTGCAACGCGACTTGTGGTATTTCAGGCCAGGGGTTACGGCCCTCCGGAGCTGGTGACATGCGGTAGAGATGGATGCGTTCGCGTGTGGGATGTGCGGCAGGACGATGCACCCGTTGCCGCTTTTGAACCGGCAGAAAAAACTGAAGCAAGGTGGGAGGGAGCTGGCATTGATCACAGCTGGGAGAAGCGTTGGCCGGAGGCTGACATGTGACCAGAGCATTCCCGAGGAATTCTGTTTTATTTTTACACCTTATGTTAACTTCGCGTGGTCCGTGCTCCGTGAGTGTTAGTCAGTTGAAAAGGCTGATGATAGTTGGAAGTGTGATGCAGTAATGTTGTATCTAGGTGAAGGGAATAAGAGCGGTCTACCGCATTTTGCTAAACCCTTCTGCACAGTAATCCAACGCCTGGCCTTGTTTTGCGGAGCAACATTAAAAAATTTAAAGCTCTGAAAAAATGAGGAGCAAAAAGCGTAACGTTAAAATTTTACGATGTGGAGGGGCTTAACAAAATACGGTACATTGTGATTGCGGATGTGCTTTGTTGGTACGAATGCCATTTGGGGGTGCGACATTCACAGCCAGGGAGCAAAAGCTTGGAAGCAGGTGTGCAAATCAGGGCTGCTCATCGGATTATGTGGGCCCTGTGCGTTAGAAGTTTCGAGACATTGCGCCTATTGATTTGCACTGTCCTGCGGCGCAGGGACTGCTGGTGTGTGGCGTTTGGCAACTCGTACAATGACGAGGAGCGGTGTGTTCTGGCAGGGTACGACAACGGTGACGTCAAAATGTTCGACCTGCGCACAAACAAGGTACGCGCGGCCACGCGCATCTTTATTTGGCTGAGGTGTCACTTAGCAGCCAAAGGGTGGCTTCGGTCGTCTTTATGTCAAACGCCACCTTCCAAGTTTGGTCATGCACAATTTACTGTATGTATTCGCAACATATGGAAACTCGTCTAGGGCACGTGTCTTTTTATCAGTCAGTCACCAAAAATCCTGCCTGTTTGGGGACAAAGTCAGAAATGCTTTAGTACTTTATGTACGATGTCGTACCGTTTTTCGTCCGGCCATTTCTCGCGCAACCTAGCCACCTTAATTCACGAGCTGCATCATTATATCTAGCGGCTTAAGCTGCTTTCCAGGAACAAAGATATTCAAATGCTTTATTGCGCATGTCGCCGAAAAGCCTGCATCGTACGCGCATTTATAAAATCGATGTTTCTAAATGCGAAGGTGACAGCTCTAAATTGTCTATTTTAATTGTCTATCCTCTGGGCTTCATGCCGTTTAGAGACTCAAATCACAAATGCCGTATAGCTAATGCATGTTTAACGATGACCTCACACAGCTGATGATGTCATAGGTGAGGTGGGAAGACAATGTGAAGAATGGAGTCTGTGGGGTTCAATTTGATAGGCGGGACATCGCCATGAACAAGTTTGCCATCGCCTGCTTAGAGTCCAAGTTTCACTGGTCTGATGCGAGGACACATCATGCCAAAAAGGTAAGGCTTTCAATTTCTTGGTAAAAATAAAGGCTGCTTCCGCAGGGACGCCACACTCTTGAATGCCATACGTGCTATCGATGCTGCTCGAGATACCGGTGGTCAATATATCTAAAACGCCATGTCGACACATCAGTACTTAATACCGCGTTAGTATGTCGCAAATATCATATCAACGTATCAGTACGAAATGCAGTATTATCACTGTAAAATGTGTATGTGATTTCCCAGCATAGTATCAAGAACATGGAAAGTACCATTTTGACCATTCTGTTTTAAGGCAATTTGCTGTCCTCGCGAGAATCGGCAGGAAGGTTGTTCCATGTGAGTAACAGTCGTGCCACTTGCACCGGTTGTCGTGTTTGTAACCCTCGAGGATATTGGAAGAGAACGGGCTGGTGCTTCCCATTGCAGGGATTTGCCCGGCTTACGGAGGAGGTGACAGGTGGCTCCACTGTGTGGGGCGTTCAACACTTGCCGCAAAACCGGGACATTATGATGGTGGCTGGAGGTGACGGGACTCTGTCTCTGTACAAGTATCATTACCCTGATCAGAGAAAATTGAAGGTGAGTATTCTAATTCAACGTTCCACATTGGACGTTATTACATCGGCATACTGGCAGGTACGGCACCTTGCATTCCAGCCATTTCGTTGCTTGACCAATTTATGAATTCAAACATAGAAAAAATGCCTGGAAATTGTCCTGATGTGTGCGATTCGACGCTTGGGATGAATTCAAAGCGTTTTGAGTATGCAATGTGCTGCACATACATTCCAACTGTTACATTTCATCTTTTCTTATTCCACGTTCTACTATATAGGTTAACACGCACACCTCCAAAGTAGCGCAAAAGCTCTTCACATATGCACCTCTAAATCATCGCCGCGGTGCACCCATAGTCGCACTGAGCACCTGAGACAAGCAGACGGAACACAATACTTGATCAAAGAGCCCGGCGCAGCGTTCAAGAAGATCCCAACATTACTCATCCCTGCGCCTTTTCCACACTATGGCTCAGGATTCAAACGGCATGGAAGCAGGCGTGGCAGGCACCACAGAGCTGCTGTCCTACAAGAATTTGTCGACACAGCCCATCTCCAGCCTGAACTGGTGTCCCGACAAGGAAGGCCTCTTCGTATGCGGCTCATTTGACCAGTGCGTTCGTGTGGGAATCGTCACGAAGCTGCACAAAGTGTAGAGCCCCCCTGGGGAGCGGTCATTCCTACGAACATCAGGATCCAAGTGGTCTTTTTACGAGGCATTATTCCGCCCAGACTGGAGACGAATAGAGTCAGGATTCTGAGGTCCAACTTGGCTAAATGTTCACAGGAGTCTTCGTGTTTCTGCACAGATATTCAGGGAATCTTTGGAGGGAGTGGGGGAATGGTGTGAGGGGCGGTACTCAAGTTGGGGATTTGTTACAGAAGTTGCGCTACGGGTTCTTTAAGGGCAGTCTCATATTTGGCTTTTGGGTGAATCCAGTAAGCAGAAACCTGCGCAGTGAAGTCAGCGGTTATCCGGGCGCCCAGACATCTGCGTGACTACCCAATCGAAATGGAAGCTTTGAGAAATACGCTCATTTCATGCTTTGATGAAATTTGCTTATTTCAATTTGAAAGCCAGGCATCTCGCATCCAATGTAAAAGTATACCACTTCCATTTGCAAGCAGCAAGAGGTTACCACCATATTTCCATCGCGCTGTCACGCTTTCAACCGGGATCAGTGCTCCAGTGTGCTGGATTTGCCAATATGCGCACATTCGACAACATCACCTGGCCTCCCTGCTTCAGCTCGCGTAGGACCTCGGTCGATGCATGAGCAGGCTGTGTCCGATACTGCGTCGTAAGGAAGACTCCATTGGCCTCACCATGTTAGGCTTCCTCTCCTTGTTGTGACCGTAGAGCTCCCCTTTCCGCCCTGAATATCTCTTCGATTCTCTTTGCTTTCCACGCCTGGTGTCTCCGTTTTCTCATGTCCCTGTTCGGTGGAGGCGGCCCAGACGCCGCCCAAACACTACCCAGATGGCGAACGCAGTCACGGCATACCAAAAGCTTTACAACAGCCAGCAGTTTGCACGGATGGTAGTACCATAATAAATATAAATGCCCTTTTTATAATACCAGTGTCATTTCCAAGTGGACCACGGCTATCGTCAAAGCATGCATGCTCTCCTCGCTGCCCTCTGCGTATAGCAACGTGCGCCATTTGCTGCATATTCTTATGCCGTTCCGTCCCTCCACAATTACGTCTCACACCCTGTTACAATTTGCGCCGGAGCAAGATCTGGGAACCCTTGCTGCAATGGCATGGTGAACAATAGTCTTGATGCTTTCTTTCTGCTGTACAACCTTGAGGCAAGATCCCGGGGCTCGCCGGCGTGCTCTTTGACAATGGGCGCTTGCCCCTATTATCTAATTAAAGCACTGCTGCAACACGAACAGCCTGGCGTGGGTGACAGATGATGGTGCCAATCGACGCTGAAAGGTGCGCATACTTTAATCACAGCACGAACGGAATTTGCAGGCACTAGCTTCGGCCTTCATGCATGACAAACGTTGGCTATCGCCCACTGTCCGCCACGCTGCGTGTGAGAGGCACGGTAGCCGCCATGGTCGCTGCCTGGTGGCCAGGCCAATCTGTGTGGAAGCACTTATATTCTAGACCTAAGTTGCCTGGCCTGGAAGCAGGCATGAAATAGAGTGTTCCACACGCCCAGCCTCTTGGTCACGCGCTTGTGTGCATAAACCTCCAGAATAGAGGCCTCGAAATGAGTACGAACGCATCAGCTTTCCTTCACATGAGTCATCTCGATGGGAGTAATCGTACAGGAATCGGCTCCACCGACGCTGCAACACATTCACTGGCAAAAAAGCACCAAATAACACTTTCTACGAGCACACGTGTATGCCTTTCATCAATATTCCGGACGCTTAAAACACGAAAATAACCCAAACCCGTTAACTTTGCACACGTTTGAACACATTTTATTGGCTCTTTTTTCCTAGTGATTTGCAGCTCGCCAGAGCCATAATAATCCAATAAACCGGCAGTGTATCCTGCGAAATGATGATTTGATGCCCACGGTTTTTCGCTGTGAATCAGCCGGTCAGGGACTGCTGTGTGATTGGGCTGTTTGGTGGCGGCTCTCAGACAGGGAACTGCAGTCGCTGAGTGGCAGGCGCACGCAAATGGAACATTGGCAATTGCCCACGGCCACCAAGATCAGTGGACGGTCAGCAAGGGCAGAGACGTCTGCAAGGTGCTGGTGGCCGCACACCGCCCGGCATCCGCCAATGAGATGCTGTGGCGTGTCAATCGACTGAACCGCAGGCGGTGACGGCCACCGCGGCGCCGTATATATCGCCATTTGGGCTTCAGAGGTACCTGCCTTGGCGCTTGTTGTTATCAAATGTGGCTGCCATGTGCGCGCCGGACAGCTCCCCATTTCACCTCCGCCTGCTGAGCACACCACGTCTTCTGGCCGCACACCGGGTCCACATAAAGCCAAACACAATTAGCATGCAATGCAAGTACCCTCAAGTCCTCCTTAACGTAAGAATCAATCCTGGTGCGAATGTCCCTTGATGGTGCTTCACACCATCCTACTTACTGGTGCTCGACACGAAGCGCAACACCAAACACTTTTTCTATACCGTCCTTCACCCCAGATGGCGCGAACGCGGTCCTGGCGACATTGTGCTGCGGAATAGGAATAAGGTCGACACGACATGTGTATCTAAATGGAGACACCGAGAAAAGGCACTTGCCCACGATCAGTCCCTCCTGCTGGTTGTTCTGGGAAGGGTTCGAGCTAGGCGCTGGGTATGAGTCACCGCAGACTTTGCGCGGCCTATGGGGGTCGAAGGAAGCGAGCCGGACACCAGCCTGCCCAAATCGCGGCCTTGGCTGGTGCTGGTGCGTCGGTGGGGGCTTGGTCGCGAATCGGCTCCCTGCATCCAGGTGATGACCTCCATCTGCTGGGAAATCTGCATACACGGCGCCATGCGCAACGCTCAATCAGGCCAAAAATATGACTGTGGCCCTTGAACAGACTGCCGTGCTTCGCGCAGGATATTCCGGCCAGGGAAAGCCGCCAACAGCCGCGATGGAGAGATATTTGCCGCGCTTGATGCAACGCCCTGATGTTCTGCATTGTGCGTCTTTGGCAACACGGTGATTGTGCATCGTGAGTACTGCCTGTATCCGCGTGTTTGGATGGAGTAAAATGGGCAAACATGACAGGCCATTCATGGCGGCTGAAAGCACTCACGTCATCGGGCTGGGGTTGAAAGGCAGTGCTTTAGCGTTTCATGGCAAATGAAGTCAAGCGGGCCGCAGCCATCCCTGACGACATGTGCATATCGGACGCCACGCAGGCACCGTGGCATCGCTCTGAGGCCCTGACGCGGCTGTTAAACATCCCAAACACACTTTCCAACGATTCTCAGTCATCTCAGTTTTGAATGGACGCATCCGCTTGCCGTGCTCATTCCTCATCCCGCTTTCCTGTTATATGCCCAAAACCATGCGCAACACAATCTGGGACAGAAAGCAGGTTCACCAATGCAAGAGGTCGCTTTGCCGTATAGCACAACCTGATGCAAACGAAATTCGCCCCCGGATGTGCCTCTCTTTACAGTTGTATATCTCCGGTATAAAGGCTATTACTATTTAAGGCTATTGCACTTGGTGCAGTGACGTACCCTCTCATCCCATTTTGACAGCATCCTTTGATGCGCCTCCAGTCTTCGCTTCACCTCGTTCAGCTCGCTTCGGGACCCAGCAGCAGCAAATTGACTTGAGAACTCATCATTGGCGGCGCGCAATTCGTCCAGTTCTCGTTGTAAGTCGCGCACCGAGTGCACAATCTTTTCAACCTATCGGATGGAAGGTTAACGAACAATGAGCCGTGGGAGCCAGGTGTGTCTGTTGCCGGCAACAAAACTGCCAGCGTACTTCGCAGCAGCCAGAAGATTATGAAATGAGCGTCCCCAGTGGCATCAGAAACCAAAGCGATTACCTTTGCAGCTCTAGTTCGCACATAGCACTCAATCCAGAACACCTCTGTGCCACCCGCACTTTGCGCGATGAAGTGCCCACGGCATGGATTGCTGAGGACACGAAGACATACGACATCTGTAGATTGACACGCACTCAATACTGATTCAATAATTTCACTCTACGACTAGCATTCAATGCGACGGTCGGAGCCATGCCAGCCCCGCATCGCTGCCAGCTCCTCACCGCAGGAGACTCATCGGACATGGCCTCCACGATGCCCACTAGGCGATGCAATGTGCCCGACCCGCGTTCCGTGTTCTGCTTGAGGCTGGCGATCAGGTTCTCGATGGCTCGGCGCTGCTCCTCGCTGACGAGCGAAGCGCCTGATGCGCCCGACATGTTGGAAGCCGTTTCTTCAGCGGTCAGGAATAGAGCGCCCAGGGGCGAGTGGGGTGAACTCTGCGAGGGTCTGAACATGAAAAAAGAGTCTTTTTTCCCAATCGTGCTCGCCAGCAGTGTTGCTGTGATGCAGCGAGCTAGTTCAGTGCTATGAAGTGCTTTAAAGTGGGAACAAAGTTGCGGACCCATGGCGCCACGACTCCATTGTCTGTGAGGTTTGTTTCTATCAGCAGCGGTCAAGGAGCAGGGGGCCTGCGCGAACAGATTTTGCACAACCAGAAGAGCGGCTTTTCAGTGTCTGCTGCATGCCAGAAGTAGCTGCCTGCCAATGCATGCGAAGGCGCACATCCGGGCGCTTTGTGCTCCACGCAGCGTAAATGCATTTCCAGAGCTGACACTCCACCCATGGCTTTTGTGCGCAGCGTTGCCTTTTATGCCCCAGCCGCGAGTCTGAACAACTAAAATTGTTCACCAGAATAGAAGATTCATGTGGGAATTCCCCAAATTTGGCATGTGGGAACGAAGCTGTGAACAAAGAATATGTTTTCCCAGCCACACCTTGTTGCAACAGTCTCTTTCGAAGGCATGTGTTTCTTGGACATCTGCTGCTCCCTGGCGTTCAGTTCCAGCTCTTGCTGATCGAGTTCCCGTTTCCGTTGAGCTTCCCTTTCCCGCAGCGCCTCGTAATGCCGCTTGTCTTTCGCTGCTGCCTCGGCGAGTCTCTGCACCTCTGCAATTTGTTCGTCCACCGATGCTTGACGCTCCTTCACCTCTTCGTCAGCCTAGCAATGGATAGCCGAATCGAGTTTCAAAATTTCACGACCACCAGGAACACTCGAGTGGCGTGAACACATTCTGTCACAGGGAAAGTGATTTGTGAATTGATCAACTGTGTGAGCTGGAATCACGTTGTTCCCAATTTCACGAGTGCTGCAGCTTCAAGTCACTGCAATTGAGCGTTTGGATCATTTATCAGCACGCCAGTGAGCGCACAATAAGGTTGCACAGCGCACTGCTGTCGCCATGGAAATTGGGAGTATTTTTGTCGTAAAGCACCAAGTGCGTTCTTGCACATGATACCAGCTTGGGTAACGTTGAGCATACGTACTCTTCCGCACGGAATGTGAAGACACCGGTCGCTTATGCAGGTCAGAAACTCGGCATCCTCCACGAGCTTTAGGTACAAGACAACAACACCTTTCCACCTGTTTCAGCTTCTTTCTCGCTTCATTGACTTTCTCCTCTGCTTCTGAGCACCGAATATCACACTGCTTCTGAATCGCCCCTGCCTCTTGTTTAGCATCCTCGACGATTCTTGCGGCTTTTCGCTCTGCTTGTTGATGGATATGCTGCTGCATCTGCACAAGCAATACACGAGTTCTGTTGATCGATTCCGCATATTTATACAATATATTCCGTGTATTTATTATTTCCGCAGATGAGCGTTAACTTTGTGCCCATAGAGAAGGCATTCTCTCAGCAGTGCTTTCTGTCAACTTCCGTTGTCTATGAGGACTGGTCTTTCAGAATGTGATTGTTTTGGCAGTTGGCGCATGGTATTTCAGGATACGAGTGGAACGACTAGCATCTGACGTAGAAAACGTGTGTGTTTTGGCATGTTGGCGGATTGTGCTTTGATATGGACATCGGGGAGTCAGGTAGCAAGGCAGCTGCCGTTGTTGCCCAGCGTTGTTCAACATCGTGGTCATCAAACTCAATCCATTTCGCGGAAATTCGTTGCCTATAGTTTTCGAAGTTTTTCGGTGTGGAGGACCAATCTCTGAAAGCAAGCAAAGCTCGTGGTCGATTGTGCTATGGGCCTGCCGCCACCAATTAATGGCTTTGTTTCTTCTGAACATCCAAACAAATCCCAAAACCACGCAGGGAGCCAGTTTCGTGGTCCCCCGGGTCTCACCTGCACCTCAGCCTCAGCCCTGGCCAGTTCCCTCTCCCTGCGCTCCAGCTCCTCCTCTTTCCTCCTGATCTTCTCCAGGCTGCCAGCCGCCTCCCGCTCGGCCTGCTCCTGATGATGCTGGCCCTGCTGCAGCTTGGCCTTCTCCGTTTCAAGCTCCTCCTTGCCATGGACAAGCTCCCTTGCAGAACGGGCAAGGCTGAGCTCCTGGTCCTTCACCTGGCGCTTAAGGCCCTCCAGATCTTCCCTGGCTTTGTCGATATCCCTAAGATCCTCCTAGACAGCCGCCAGTGGGACAGCGATAAAAATGGCGGCAATTTTGACTGTTGGCAGAGTGCTGCACCTGTGACGCGCTTCCCCAACACGGCTCAGGAAAGTGCAGTAGTTCAATTGATCCCTCAAACCTACCCTGACCTACGCGATTCAAGGTCATCATCTGTCTCCAGGCCATTCCGCACATTTCCCGCAGTGGAATTGGAGCTTCTCTTCTTTCGGTTTTCGCTCAACCCCGTCTGTTCTATGTTGACGATTTCCTACATATGGTGTTATGGCGAAGATGGGCATGCCACCGTCCGCGCTATACCCGCAACACATGACCCATCAGAATACATCATGGGCACGTTCAGCGCCGCCCATCTGTCACCCCTATTCTAAACTGACGCCAACCGAACGATTGTCGTTGCCAGCACTTCGTTGGCAGCTCATTGACATGTGCCAGGATAGTGCTTTGCCACACTGAGCGAATGCGCCGAATCGATTCAGTCCAGACGAAACTCATTGTCCAGTGCCCACATCTGCATGGCGGGACAATCTCTGGGGTTGTCGACGGTGTTCTGCGCTGAAATCAACTGATCGCCTTTCCGCGAGCAGTTGCACAACTTCAGGGAGCCAGTCGTAAACTTGGCCCATCAATCCATCGACACAAAACTAGCAGCTGTGCAGGCCCACCTCGAACATCAATTACTACCGGTCCCAAATGGATTTATACTTTAATACAGTATCCAATTCCAGAAAGTATTCAGACCGTAATTAAAGATATCACCTCAGATGATAACGAAACAACAAATGACTAACGCTGCACACATCTACTAATTCCAACAGCAATTGGTGCGCCGACCTTCAAGACATTATCGACAGTCGCACTGACTAGAGCGAGAGTGTTGCAAGTTAAGGGCCAAGATCAACACAAGCGCTGAAAACTTGTGACAGAGCGTGCACGCTTATCGAACTTAAAATCGCTATCGAGCTTAAAATGCGGGCTGGAGAATGGGACCGCTGTGTTGGGGAAACACTAATTCTAGCTACCTTTTCTCTTTCGATCTTGTCGGCGATACCCTCAAGCCTGATCTCCTTGTCCCGCAGCTTCTGGTCTTTCTTTCTGCGTCTAGCTTCGGCTTCTTTTAGCCCTTCTTCCTTCAGCTTTAGGCGTGCTGTTACCTGCCTGGCATTTTCCTCCAGTTCCGTCCTCGCCGCTGTCAATTCATCATTGGCCTCCTTGAGAGCAGCCTGCCTTGATTCAACTTTCTCGGCGCAGGCCTTCGAATCCTTCTCTTGCGCAGAGAGTCTCTCTTCTCTCCCCTGCATGTCAAGGACATCATCGCAAAATCCACGGAAGAAGATTTCATGTTCGACGTGTGTTGGTATGTGACCCCAACGAGAACCAAGATGCGGCCAATGTGGAAATTTTCACGATCCATGGTTGGGGGCGCGGCAGCTTCATTCCTGTCAACCGCATGACTAATAACGTCTGATCATTCAATTTCCTGCGGAAGTGGAAAGTACGAGAAATGGTGGCCTTCTCCCCAACCAAAAGAAAACGAACACAAGAAAAAGATAAGGATGAAACTTTCAATCGGAGGCGCTCTCTTTATCAGTGAAAGATCCATAACAAACCTTAAGCTGCTGTTCCCGCGCCTCAATTTGCCTCGCTTGCTCTTGCAGCTCGAGCATCCGTTTGCTCACATCTGCGTCCCTGGCCCGGATCGCGCACGTCTCCTCTTCCAAGCGGGTCTGCGAGCCCATCACAACGATCAACGATGCACATCGATGAAACGTTGAGCTGCCATGAACAGCCACCTGAACAGTGGTATAACGCACTAGCAGCTGCACCTGACCACGCAAATAGGTGCAATGCGAGGATGCCCGATTGATTTACTGCCCAACCTGAATGACGACATGACTATTGCTCCTTAGAAACTATATGCTTCCTTGAGTCACCTGCATCTTTTGGAGCCTTTCCTGCGCGGCGTCCAAAGCTCTCTTTTCCTCCTGAAGCCGAGAATAGCCGACTTCAACCTCCTCCTGCCGGGCATCCAGGGTTTTCTCTCGACGAGAAACGTCCTTCAACGCCGTTTCTGCTTCGGCATGGCGGCGTTGTGCGTTGGCTGCGACTGTCTGTTGCAAAAAATCCCCATTATGGAAACCTCTACAAATGACAAAAGTGGAGCAGATGTAGCCAAATACTGATCTAGCTCATGAATGACGCAAATCACGAAAATCCATCATTATGGAAACCGCTACAAAAGAACAAAATGAAGCAGATGTAGCCAGATACTGATCTAGCTAATGAATGATGCAAATCACGAAGGCGCAACACCAGTTACACAAGAGAAACCGCTCAGGACACTTTACGTCGCAGCTATCGGAAATAAATTCACATGTCCGGATATAAGAAGTCCATATCCACGTCCATATCCTCGCAGTACAGCAGTGCTAATTCGAGTGTCGATCTCATCTAGCAACATGACTGGCTTTCCAATAGGATGTAGACCAAAAGCACTCTGCTAATCAGCCATGACTGCCTGGTGCTGCATTCAGTTCCAGGACAACCAAATCCCCATTGCAGAGATGGCAGCTAGACTTCGGCAGGGCCCACATCAGCAAAATGAAATGCTGAATATTTGCTTCTGCCTAGACAGGTGAAACACCTTGGAGTTTGCGGCATCCTCTGCATTCTCTGCGGCCTTCGCATTCAACCTCCTCTCTAGAGCACTCAGCTCATCCTTCAGCTGCTGTGCTTCAACAGCCTGCTTTGAGAGAACCTCCGCCTGAGCCTGCCAGAACACACCCTCGTGTCCTGCATCATGTGCGAAAAGGCATGTGTGTTTTGCGCAAAACGACCATTGTGGTCACAGGCGAAAATTCAATACTTGTAGTGAATTTTCGCAACCGTTTGTCCATGTATTTGGAATAGGGCTTATCCAGAAGTGAGTCTTGATGTTGGGGAACATGAACCCAAAACACAGCACGACCAATGCTGGTACTGGCGACAACAATCCCAACAGCATTTAAGACATCGATAGCGAATTGCCTTGAACAATACCGTACTGTGACATTTCCAGAGTTTTTGCAAAAGTGACACACAACCAGCGCGGCGTGACCATTTGCAAATTCGTGGATGGGTTTCGTACAGCACTGCACACATTGGTCGTCAGCACGCTGCGCCGAAATTACAAATCCGCTGGCAGTGTTTTGATGACATGTACTTCATGGAATAGAGGCCTGGCAGGGCACATTTCCTTCTCCTGAAAATACCTAACCCAAGTTCACACCTTCAGCCTTTCTGACTCTCCAGATATGAAATGCTTTTGCGCAATTACTTCATCCCTGTCCCTTTGGCCATCGTCCCAATGTTTCCTTTCCAGGTTTAGGGCTTCAGCCTGGGCATCGTGCTTCCGGGTAGCCTCATCAAGCTGCCTCTTGGCCTCATCCAGCGAACGTTCCTTGTCCATCAAACGTGTGCGCAGGTCTTTCAGCTCTGCCTCCGCGGCGCTTACAGATTCCTGATTTGGCCATACGGCATTGTTGAGATGATTCGAAAGCGTTCTTGTGCTGGGAATTGTGCACGATGACCTGCCTATTCATGAATTGATATGCTGCAGATATCATAATACCTTGCAAATCTACATCACATTATGAGTGGAGTTTGCCTATATGCCACATCTTCTTTCTTGTGCTGCGATATTGCGATAATCTGAACTTGAAGGAGCTGTGCATGAATCAATTGGATCCGGCAGCAGCTGAAAATTTCAAACACAGTTGCACGGGGTTTTAAGGAAACACGGCTAGTAAACCACTGGATATGCAGTGTACTTGATGAACTGTACTGCTCGCCCGAGTGATTTTAACAAACGCTATTGCCATCAGCCATGCACCCTGCGACAATCACGTTCAGACTTTCATTGCAACGTTGGAAAACTCCAAGTGCTGTGCAATCACCTCACGTTGTTCGATTTCCATGGTGACCCTGTCAGCCACCGCCATTTGCTCTTGAACAAGTGCATCCTGTCGCCTGGCGGTTTGTTGAAGTTCCTTGGCCTCCGCCACCGCTGCAGCAGAGCTCTCCTGGAGCTCTCTGCATTCCTCGCGAATTCTCCCAAGCTTCTGTTTCGCGGCCTCCATTTCCCCAGTCACCTAAACCACCGCAATTTAAGTTAGTTCCTTGTGCTGCGAAGATTCCAGCACCTGCTGCTGTTCTACCATGGTGATGCGAATAAGAAGTGTCCTCTTTACAACGACCACAGTATGAGCCAAATGCTCCTGCCCAGCGAGATCGCCAATCACAACATTGCAAGGTCCGTTTCCTTCAGCCACGACTTGACTTGCCATTCATTCCCGTTTCCAATTGTAGTATGCCTCCCATGGATATATTCCCGGCGGCGACAACACATAACCTAAACAAGGTGTCGACCGCTCCGTGCAAGCTGCATTGCGGCTCCATGCTGCGCTGTGAGCGACAAGCAGAAATCTCTCAGTGGCGACGGTAAACAGGAAAAACCACAACAGCGATGAGTACCGTGTGCAGCAGCTTTCCCACAAGCAACTAACATGACGTTGTGGGGATTACATCGGTCCGTCTGTCACCTCATTTTTTCGTGCTTCTGCCCGTGCCGCATCCCTCTGAGCCTCCTCGACAGTCTGAAGCGCTTCCCGCTGCAGCACGGCAACTTCTCTTTCCCTTGCATTCAGTTCCTCTTCCTTTTCTTCATGCGCCTTCAAATCCTTAGCAAGCCGTGATTCGCCATCCAAAACCCTTTTGTTGACCTACAGCAATGCAAACGTAAGCTGTTAAACAATCAAAGCCTGTAAAACGCGCACAAAATGCGTGAAAATGCCATGGAATATGTTTGATGGATTATGGATTCAGGTACGATTTTTCCCTCCACCATCACTGCCTCCAGTGAAGCGATGCGAACAACACATACACACCGTACAAGCTGCACTTTCTTACAGTCAGCAAATCGGGGATGCCAAGTGCGATAGCCATGCGTAATGGAACTGGCATTATATCCACGGTGGCCAAAAAATCAGCAAGAACAACGTCTTGAGTGTAATTTTTAAGGCCAAGCCAGGAGAAGAATGTCGTGGCATGAGCAATCACATGGAACAACGGCAGTGATCCATTGAGATCCGCACAGTGATACACGAATTGTTTCACAAAATCCGCAATGTGGCAGTGTAATGACCCAATTACAGCCAAGGATGATTGAGCAAAAACAGTAAGAAATCAGAGCCATACATTCTAAGGACAGGCAAACTGCATTGACGGCACCTCCTCAAGGGCTTCGCTCTGGGCCTGGAGTTTGTCCTCCAGTTCTTTCAACGACTCTGCTTCTACGGCCGTCTTGTCCGCCATGTCGTTGGACATCTTAATGAGAGACCTCTCCATTTCCTCCAGCGACTTCTCCCCTTCTGCAAGGGCAACTTCTCGCCTTTCCACCTCGGCGGCCCTCGCATCCAGTTCTTTGGATCGAGCGTCCACCTGAGCGCGACTCCGAGTCTCATTGGCTTGGAGTTCAGCTTTCAATGCGGAGCTGGCAGCGGTGGACACAGTTGACGTGAGACAGAGGCAAGGACGGCGCGTCTTCAATGTCACAATCTTGTTGATAAATCGGAGGTCATGCGGATTCGCCCAGATTCTGCGCGATTCTGAAGCGGACGGATCTGCATAGGGCAACGGAAAATGCAAATTCATCCCGATTTCGTTGTTGACAAGTTGCGGTCGATTTGGAATTTCTGAGAATTCTGGTTCCTAGATGATGGAGGTTTTATGCTAATTTACAAACATTGCAACTCAGGCCCTTGCCATTGCATCCTTCAACAGTGACATTGTGCTGGTATTCCACATCACCCAGCTTATGGAAGAGCAATATCGCGATTTTCTCGAGGGTCCAAGCTTTATGTGGGCAATGTGCACAACAGACCTTTCTGAAAGCATCTCCTCTCGAATGCGTGCTTTGAATGTCTTGAGTTCATCTGCGAGTTGCTCCTGCCGTTTCTTCAGTTCCCCTTGAATAACGAAACGAGCAGCTTGCGATCGTCCCCATTCAATTTCAACTTTGATCATTTTCCTAGCAACTTCTAAATTCCAATATAGCTTGAAGCACCGTGTTGCATGTGTCCATAAACTTCGAAAATGGACAGACCACCAAGAACGCAGCCGTTCTTGCAGTATGAGCGCATCATTGCAATTGTGCACATTGCAATTTGCTTGGACAGGCCAAGACGCCACCGCCTAAACAGCGTTTCTTTGATTTTCCTGGTGGCCTGTCCTCAGTGCGCGTCCTCCACCATATGTCCCAGCAGCCAATGAAAGTCACATGCAGCAACCCAGTGCAACTGCATTGCGACAGATCGTAAAGTTGTTGCTGGAGTGCGATAAGAAGCCCAGATTCAAAAATTGTTGCAGCGGACTCCTTGTTCCTGGAAATTTTATATCCTCCAGCATGTCACATGCAAGCCCACTACAACAGTTCGTGCCATTCCCAAAAACACATGTCCTGAATTGGTCAGCCGCAAACACAACAGACTGACCGTCAATTCTCTTCAGCTCCTTCTCTCTTGCGTTCAGCTCCGCCTCCCTGCTGCTCAGCTGCGCGTGTTTTTCCTGAAGCTGTCGAGTCTCCCTCTTGTTGTCAGCTTCCAGAGTCTTCATCTCCAGCAGGGACCGTTCAGCGCCCCTCCTCGACTCTTCAATTTCAGACCGTACGCCTGCCAGCTGCGCTTGTTCTTCAGTCTGCCACAACAATACATCTTATGTGAGGTATTGGTATAGCGAAGTTAGCAAGTCCACAACATGCTGATTGCTTTAGCGAAGTAAACAGCCTCACACAAAATGTGCAGTTCTGTTGAGGCCGTGGTTCAGGTTTAGGCATGCGCACACTGCGGTACAGACAAAGCGACACGTCCCGGATTGCCAGTGTGTTCACTGTGGGCACTGGAATTCTTCTTGAATAAGTATATCCACATGTGGGGGACATTTGTGACTATTTTTAGGGCGGCAAGTAGGACAGTGCTTACACCGCCATGGGATGTTCGAAGATCCCTGTCAGATAGTATGTGGCACGTCAGATGACTAATGAAATTATCGTCGCTACAACAGGGGGGCGCGTGACAACGAGGGGAAGTGAATCAATTAGGTGCTTTTATTCTGCGCAGATTGGATGTAGCCATGCGCGTCAGCATCGCTGGGTTGAGAGCAATTGCGATATGTGTCGTGACATATCAGCGACAACGTCTCGCTTTATGAGGCGAAACCCTAACTATGGGTAGGATCTCGCTTGAAACAGATGGCGTTCTGGAATATGTAGTCCCTTCGACCACAATTTCGATATGTTAGACAAACAAATTGCGCTGTGGTAATCGGATACACATGCCGTGAGGGCTCCAGAGCAGGCAGCAGCAGGCGAATCCAGATGCAACAGCCCCAGGGCAGCACATGTATCGCGCGACAACACAGACACCAGCTGGTGCTCATCTCACCAGCTGGAGCTCCTTCTGCCTCAACAGCTCTGCCTTCATCTGGTGTTCATGGCATTGTTCCTTCCACCTGCTTTCCGCATGTCGAGCTTCTGCCCTGGCTTCTGCTTCCGCCTACAGGTGTTCAAGCACTCTGCTGTGAATAGCCCTGTCAAACTGACAAAGCTTCCCCTCCACTCAAGCCCAAAGAGCTGCAGTGCAGCCACGATTAGATATGCCTATCGGCGATAAGCTCCCGAGCAAGACTTGCCGAGGTAACAGTAGATTTTACAAATCATCAAACATTCATCCACACTAAAATATACAATGTACATCGCCACTTCCAAAGTCCACAGAAAACTTACTGTTGGCTCAAAAGGACACAAAAAACAAGTGAAACCGCGCAGTTCATTTGAAAGCAATGAAGCAGTCCACTACCGCACCGATGAATCAATCGGATGAACAAAAATTTACCTTTGCTACGGTCTCCACCTGTTTGACAATATCGATTTGCTGCTGCTTCATTCTTCCCCTGATTTCCTCAGCCTCCTGTCTTGCCATTCGAATTTCCTGCTCAGCTTCTTGACGAGCAAGGCGGAGTTCCTCATTAATCCGCATGCGTTCTGACGACAGCGCCTGAGACACAATAAGAACAAGGCTACAATGACGAGGCCACTAGCGCAAAATGTACTGAGAATAGATCTTTAGATACGTGATAGCGGCGCATGTGTTAGAAGAACGCTGTAAAATATGACAGCGAACAGCATGCCGTTCCTGTTGTTCATGTTGTTGTCATTCCTTTAATGGGTCCAATGTGAATGATGTGATAGAAGTACACAACAATGACAGCAATGAAGCTTGCTACTGAAACACCTCCAGTCACATGTCGGTGCGTTTGGAGCCATGTAGTTGACGAGCCTGGAACAAGCACAAATTTGCAGAAAGGAAATGCAAGAAAACTGGGCCAAATGCGCACAACGATGATGTCGGTGTAATGGTGACGACGGTCATGGTGAGCGTGATGGCGTGTGCACGCAGTTAGAATGCGGATGGCATCGTGGGCCCGCATCTGATGGGCGCAATTTGGAATTGGAACGAGGAGTTCATTTGTGCAGAAAGGGCAAGCTCCCTTGATGGCTCGCAAGCGGACCTCTGCCCTCTCCTGCAGGCCCTGATGCAGCTTCTGCGTTTTCTCTTCGGCCGTGGCCAGTCGTTTCTTTTCATCTTCGAGCTGCAGCCTCTCATTTTCCAAGCGGCTCTCTTCGCGCTCCACGGCTTGCTCTCGCACATTCACGGTCTCCAGTCGCTCACAGGTCAAGGCCTCCATCTGTTTGATCTCGTCTGCGGCGCGTTGCTGCTCAAATCTGGTCATGCGGTATCAAGCTCAGGGGATGTTTATTTCCGCCCATACATCCCAGAGAAGGCCACAACACGCTTCTCGCGGCTTTTCAAGAGTTGTAGTTGCGCAGGATCTCTTGCAGAAATGCAGCGCTGATAATGAATTCCAGGAGGTCGACCAGCATAACGCATGTTAAGCACACGAACACCACAATGCTGGTGCGCTGCTGCGCATCCTTTAAAATACGCAGCACACCAAACCCGCAGAGTTCTCATGGATGCAATTGCTGTCACTCCCTTCCGGACGGGCTCTTTTGGCCTATCGTCGTCATTTTCAGGAGCCAGGTCGATGGCAGACACGGTGGCACCAGAAGCAAGCTGCTCAAAGTGGCTCTGTTGTGGACTCCAGTGATTGTCACAGCGGCATGGTTGGTGATCGAAAATCACATAACGCAAAACAAACAGAGTGGGCAGCAGGTTGAAGAAATTCAGACGCACACCTGAATTCCGCTTGGTTTTGTTCCAGATTCCGCCTGTCTTCACTGATCCTGTTGAGCTGCCGCTCTGCCTCAACCACGGCTTGTTTCAAATTCTCCTCAGCAAGCGCCTCGGCAGCCGCTATTTTTTCCAAACGCTTGTCCAGCTCGGCGTGCTCTTGCAAGATTCGGCTTTCTGCTGATTGGGTGGCATCTTGGCGCGACTCAAGGTCGGCTTCACACTCACCCAATCTTGCTTCCTGGTAATTGTAATAGAGACACAGCGTTAGAAATTTGGGTTCTGCTGATTCCTGTGTCGCTGGGCTGAAGCGTTAGTAAAGCAGATGAAAGAAAGTTACCCCATGTTACCTACTTGAGTTGCAGACATTTCACATTGCTTTTCATCTATGTCGCTAGAGGCGAGCGCGGAAAATCTTGCGGTTTGTGACCAACGAAAGATGACGTTCGTCGTTGCACATCGTGCAGCGACATGTGAACCATTTTACCTTCGATTCAAGTCGTGCTAATGACACGGACCAAACTGAAGACACCATGACCCATGCGTGACTTAGTATCCATTTCCCTGAACAGCGAAACCAAGCTTCGTGTTGTTGACTTGGAGAATTTCATAACGTTGACACAGAAGCTGGCAACCTTATCTGACAAGCAATGTAGTGTGCCACGTACATAACGTACATCATCAGGGGGACATCGCTCGCACTGTCAGCAACCATGTTGCTTTGTCACAAGTTGCACAATGTGCATGATTGCATAGTGCGGGTTTCTTGGCAACGCGGCCAAAATGCAGGTCCAACACAATGGATCAAGACTCCTGCCGACGTGCAAAACACATTCCGGCTCGTTGATCCTTACATCCAACCACCACAAACACTAGGCACGACTGCTTCGTGTTGCTGCTTTCTACCAAAGCAAGGAAACGAACGACGCCACTGCGCCATTTGGTGTCTGCTGCGCATTGCCATGTGGCAAGCCTCCCTGTTAGGACAGCATTAACCCACCTCCGACTCCAGGAATCGAGCCTTCTTGTTCAGAGATTCTTCCTTTTCCTCCAGTCTCCGCGCCTCTGCATTGCGCATTTCGATTTCCTTCCATTCCGACGCAATTTTTTCGTTCTGCAGCTGCATCTGCGCCTCTTGAATGTCAAACTTTTGGGATCTTTTCCTTGTCTCCTCCATAATCGATTCAAGGGCCTTCTTTTGCTCTGCTAATTCCTTCTGTTCGGATTCCAGGTTCTGAAAAGTGGTCCAACGCTGTTGTAGTTCAACGGTTTGGCTTTTCACCTGCCAATAGACGCAAAAAATGCCACGCAATGATCATTGGTTGCATTGCGTGGGAGATCCTTCGATTGATTACATTGGCACAGTGACCAGGTGCACAACAAAACTATTCATGGATCGTACAACCATTCTATTGTTCCAGTCGTCAACACAACCACTACAAGCAATGCTGTCGTACTACACAAATTTACGTCCACAAGAAAAAGCATGACTAAATGACCATATTGCGCATCGTCTGTGATACTTTTCGTGCACTTGTTTCACACACAGTGAACATCGAACATCATTTTCCCATCGGCAACCACCGCTAACAAAAGGCGATCTCACACAATCTAATTCAATGCTCAAAACCTGTTATGCTGGCAGGAAATGTGTATCAGCAGGGTAAGCCACGTGAAACTGGATAGCATCGCAATTTTGGATTACAACTGGAAAAACAATGAAAGAGTTCTTAACAACTCGTAAAAAAATAGATTGCCGCATTGTGCCATTTTCGCCAGCGCCAGCGTCCCTCACCGCCTCCAGCTGCTCTGCCGATGCTCTTTCAGCAGCTGACACCTCATCTTCCCTGCGACGAAGCTCGCCTTCCCAATCATCCATCCTCTTCCGCTCCCGGCTGGCTTCCTCAACAGCCTCTGCAGCCTTCTCATACTCGTCTCTTGCGCCCTTTCGCAGCGCATCAGCCTCCTCCCTGTCGCGGCACAATTCCTGGCGCATGACGTCATTCTCGTTCTTGCTGTCCTGCGCTTCCTTGAGTTGTTGCTCGATGTGCTTAGAACGCTCCTGGGGACCAAATGAGAACTGGTTTTCTGATAAAAGGTGCATCACTACAGTGGTAATTGCAATCGCTGCCAGCAAGACATGCAAAAAGAAGCAACTTGAATAATGCACAACAACAAGACAACAACGCAACCATATGCGATGCAATGTCCCTCTTCAGGACCTTCACGTTGCTGGTGACACCATCCATTTGTTTCGATGGAAAGGATAAGTCGGCCTGTGCGAGTCTAATTCATGTGTGCAATTGTGCATGAAGCGAATACAAGAGCCCTCACACTTACATTAGCCTACTGTATCCCAAGGATCCGATTGCAATGGAAATTTCAATGTAGACATAGCTGGGAAGCTTCCGTTGATATGGAAATGCACACAGGAAAGAGCGCTAATTCTGCTTTTAAATAAGCAATCATTGACCCCCAATGCTCATGCCAATGTGCATGTGAATTGCCATAGGAGCCGCATATTACACAACTAGCTAGTCAGGGTCTAATTCAACAATGTACTATATGCATGGTCTTAGACGCGTTATCCTGAGTTAATACAGGATGTCGAGCACCTCCAGTTGCACGGAGAGGACTCGAAGCTCTTCGCGAGCAGCTTCCAATTCGTGCGCCCATTTCTCTAATGCATCGGAATGGTACTGCAGCTGCTGAGCACTGTTGTTGTGGCTTTCCTGCATCCTCTGCAGCTCCTCCTCGCGCTGAAGCAATGCCGCTTCAACATCCTATGAGCACAAGTAACATGCAGGAGATAAATGGTGGGACCTCGAGGACACGGTGCTCCAAAACTCATGACATTTCAAGGATTGAGAAATGGGTGTTGGCTCACAGACCGTGCGCACCCTTTGGCTCAATCAGCATGCAATGGCTGGTGATCATATTCTATGTGCAGGCATTTCGGGTATACGATAATGAATCGATGTTATGAGGCCTGCACGGCGTGATGTTTTTCAGAAATTATGGCCCCTGACATGGCGCAGCAAAAGAAACCGGGAGCACGGGGCATTGGCGATCGGTACTTTGGAAGCTTACTTTCTGGCCTAATAACACTGAACCTGCACCACAGTATCTACACTGCTACCATGTACTGGAGGCAAGATCAGCAGATGAACTGCAGAGGAGCAACAGAAGCTCCATAGGTTGCCTTTAACTTCCCTGCCCTCTGCTTTGCTCTGATGATGCATATGCAACAATTCGTGTCCATGAAATCAATTTAGATACACAACATTAAAAGGAATCGATATAACAACAGTGGCTTGCATTACAGCAGTTCAGCTGCTGTGTAACATTGCACAACTAGGTCGTTTTGACGAGTGAATTACATTCCTAGTCAATAAGTTTAGCGTGTTTAACACGACATACGCACACATCGAAATTGAGAAAAATGGGCTCCACATGCCGGAAAACCGACGAGTATTCATGCAAGAAACAACCACAATCATTCACACAGTCGATGCGCACTGTGGCACTGCCTTCCGCGCACCTGGATTCTTTGCTCCCCCCTGCTGTGCTTGGCAGCCTGCACCTCGATAGCGACCGCCCACCTCTGCAGGTCAGTCTCCCTTTGCAACAGCTGCGCTCTGAAATGCTCCAAGGCCGCGGCGCTCTCCAGAGGGGACGCGGAGTTCAATGCGTTCGGGCAATTGAACCTGAAGTTTGAAACCGGAGTTGAGTCCTGTTGCGCACAGAATGGCAGTGGTGTAAGTGTGTGTGCAAGGTGTTGAGGGGGCATCGCGCACACCACTGTGGCGGCCTCAATCCGCAAGAGATGGCCTCAGTCTACACATATTGAGGAAATTCACTAGCACTGAGCAGCTTGCACTTCTAACGTGGTGAACTGTGCTCAAAAGTTTCAACGATTGCATCTTCATCTTCGGGTGAAATAGCTCAATTGAATTCATTGAAAGCACACCTGCGCATTTGGGGCACGCTGCCTGCAGTGTGTTCAACCCCTCATGGCACCCAGCAAGCAAGCAGAACACGCACGTGATGAGAATAAAACTAGATGAAGGATGGCGCCAAGACAGCCTGAACACGATGGTGAGAGTCGCACCATTGCTGCCAATGCGAGCTGGCCCTCTTGTTCTGTCTTCAGCAAATCTACAAGCTGACGTTTAACGGAGCTCCATGATTCTTGCAACTTGTGCTCTCGGGCCTCAAGCGTGGATTCAACCTTTGTCAGCGCCCTGTGTGCACCAAATAGATCCCATTGCCGCAAGACAAATCAAAGTTCTGCAAAGAATTTCTTCCACGACACACAACACTATTCACCCGCTGCTCTTAGTGTCCATTGGTCACTATTTTAAGTTGCCATGGCGGCGGCACCCATCCGCTGCAGTCGGCCATATGTTGGCTCAACAAGCAAAAAGGCCATGCCCACAGCGAACAATCAGGAGTCTCAGCAGATTTTATGACAAGTGGCTCCCAGCCATAACACCAATGGCAGTACACGATCGATTGGCCATGGTTGGGAACAAGTTGCAAACACACAGCACCAGGCAGAACTATACCACCAAAATCTCGCCATCAGTGTCGTAGAGAGAAAGCGTTTTGCTACACTTTGCAAGCGACGCGTCCCAGAAATTCATGATATCTTGAGGCAACCGAGTATGGGCCACATCCCTCAAGGCTTACGTCTTCAGCGAGGCCACGCCTTCCTTTTCCTTTTGCACTGCCTCGAGCAACTTCTGCACTTGGGCCTTCTCTTCACGAACTTCAAGCATCATCTTCTCCAGCCGCCCCTCCTCTTCATCCTTCTGTTTCTCCCAGCTGAGGATGGCGCTCAAACCACTCTGTGCGGCGTTCTCTTTTTCGCATGCAGCAGACTCGCGCATGCTGGCTGCCTACCACAGGATCAAGTTTGATTCTGAAGAGGGCATGTATCTAATGGCTCAGTTTGGACATGATACCCATATCTTGCTCCAGATGTTGGCTGCAGGATGCACACATAAGCAACTTCTCATACATAAGCATCTTCTCACACATAAGCATCTGAAGAAACTGTACAGGCAGGTTACGATGGTATCCAGCTGCACAATGCCTGTGACGAATTCACACGACCTGCTTGCCAAGCTGACACAGATCATGAGCATCGAACATTGTCTACCCGCTGAGTGGGTATACTTGCTGAAAGCAGGGGCCTCGAAATTGTCTTCAAGCACAGCAGCGATTAGCGAAGCACTGTACATCATCAGAGTATACACGTGCAACATAGGGCGGGATCACCGATGGTCCAACGCTATTAGTGCACTCTCACATCACAATACGCTATGTGCTTTCTTCGGGGTTGTTGTTGTTGGTGGGTTGGGTAGGTGGGTGGGTGGGGGTGGAGGAAGCGGTGGTTTGAAGAACTAACAAGTTAACGAGTGCATTGTTCTCTTTGATGCAACGACGAGCCAGATTGCGGTGAGCTATTTGATGCTATATTGCTCTATGCGGGTTGCGTTGCATATTAATTCAGTTCAGTTCAATCAGCATTCTGCCAGGGCGAGCCACCCGCATAGCACTCAAACCTGAATGGCATCGGCAATGCCCTTAGTTTTCTCCACTAGGGCATCCTGTGCTCGAGCTAACTTCGCCTCGAGATCGCCAAGCTTAGCGTCCCTTGCTTTCAGCCCCTCCTCCGTGGCTTGTGCCTCCTGTTTCATGCGTTCAGCCTCGTGCCGAAGCCGGCACGCCTGTACCGAAAAGGGAAACATTTACTCGTGCGCACACAGCAGAATGCATGAACTGTGGTGCCATGTGACAGGCATTCTTGACGGCATGACAGAAAAGATAAAAGGCACGAGTCAATCATTCCAACTGATTTGCCCTGACATGACACAGCATCGCCCTTGCACCTCCAAGCCAATGAGCGACCGCCAGGTGGGGAGTAACATATCGATCATTTCTGTGACCCCTAATTGCTGCACTGCACCTCTGTATGTTCTCTTCTCGCGTCACCTTGAGCCTTTTCAGCATCTGCACATCCCTGTTGGTACCTGACCCTCAGCTCCTCAGTTTCAGCAGCCCTACGTATCAAATCTTGCTGCAGGCTGCTGAGGTCGCGTTCTAGGGTGTGGAGCTCCGCCTCTTTTTCGAGTTGCACCTGAGGCCCACACACGCTACTCATTCGTGGAATCACTTTCCCTTCTGGAGCCCTCTCAACTTGCCGTTCAGGCATACTATATGCTATGAAGCAAGCCAGAAAATTGTGGGCTTTCTATGCAAGCTTTCCTGGTGCGCTTCCATGTGTAGTCGCCATATCCTGGATATGCACATCCACGCATGTACCAATGTATCCACATATGGGGATTAAAAAGTAAGACGTCAAGATTTGTGATAATTCACATTTTATGAGATCCACTGAATATGAGAATGCTGTGTGCTACACTGCAGTTGAGGAAGACTGATGAAATCCCAACTGATCGAGAGATTCGGCAGGTATTACTGAGGAATCAGCTTGTTTTCTGGCACATGCTTAATTCAATACGCTATTGTGTCGATTGAATTTCTCTTGTGTTGCATGTCTTATGCAAAGATCCACAAAGATGAGGAAACAAGATGATGAACATCTACAAGAAGCCATTTGTTAGTTAAGAAGTCAGTCAGAGAATTGGATTAGTAGTGTTGTAAGTCTGCAACATTAGTCCACCTTTCTGAATTGCATGTCTTGCGCTTCCACATCTGCCAGACGCTTCTCTGCGGCAGCAAGAGTTTCATTCACGGCTCTCTCCCGGTTCTCGATTTCTCTGTGCATGTTTGTCTGAATTTCGTCCATCTCTTTCTGCCTTCTTGCGACCTGAAGCTCCCAGTCATGCAAAATGGTTTCCCGCTCCTGCGACAGTCAGCGAGGGGAATGAATGCAATAGAACGTTGATGTCTGGCGCCTCCGCACCCAGTCCATGCACCGCACAGCCAATAATCCATACCCCAATAAAACGAGTGGGCTGGAGCCAATAGGTGGATCGTCATGAGCAGTAACTGTGCCATCAACCCCAAAGCAGCAAAACTGTGTGCAGATTCGTCAGCATCGAAGAGTCTTGCCCAAAACCATGCTGGCCGATTCGAGCATCCTACAAATTTGTCGGCTTTTACGCAATACCAACGTTGTTTTGTTTTCCATCTGCTTTAACACAGAACTCATGGTTTAGAGTTCTGATAGGGACGAAGAGCTATATGCAAAGTTGGCATCGATCACAAACATGGGCGTTGTTAATGTGTACTAATTGCAATTTGAATGCCAACCTGTAGGCCAGAATTTGTCAGGCTCCAGTTGCTGCACAGGCCAGATGGACGTCTGCATCCTTTCTGCGACGATTCTTTATAGCCATTGGTGTCAGTAATCTCACCTGAAGCTGAGAAAGGGCCGAGGCCTTCACTTGCTGTTTCAGCCCCTCCAACTGCTTCTCTTCCAGCATCAACTCATTGGCTTTATGCTGCAATTGAATGCGCTCAGAAGCAGCGGCCGCAGAAGCATCTCTTGCCAGGGCGGTGTCGTGGTCGAGCGATTCGCGGAGAGCGGCAAGCTCATGATCTTGCTGTGCCCGCAGCTGGCTAACCTCCTTCTCACGAGCAAGCAAATCGTCGCCCATCGACTTCAATCTGCGCATTTCGAAATGAAAGTTAACACAAAACAAAGAAGAAATTGCACCGATTCAAAACCAGTCTTCATGGACGTTGGGGGGCTGTGCAGGTCCAGGGATGCTGTGCACAAGTGCATATGTAAGTCTATCCTATTGAAGACAATTTATGGAATTTTGCGCAGACAGATAAATCTCGCAGCCGTGGGTTTGTCTGCAGCACAGACCTTGCTTGTTCGGCGTCAATCTCTGCTTGCTGCCTGATCATTCTGGCCTGCTGCTCCGCCACTTGATGCTCCCATTCTTTGACTTGAGTTTCGTGTCTGTGGATGAGCTCTTCGAACTCCTGCTCCAGCTGCCGCTGCTCAGACTCCATTTCGCTTTGTTTGGAATGTATGTAGGCCTCCAGATCCTAATGAAGGCCTGGTCCTTAGAACATGCCTGTTTCTGGGATTACTCAATTACGAGAATACCTACATTGGTTCTTTTGGAAAGCTTTTGCCATTCTGCTGCACTGCATGGATGCTATGACGGACCTCAAGGAAGGGGTGATAAACGATTTCACTGCATGTGTAGTGCAAGTACACTATCATGCACAGCTTCTGCTGACCCAAATGTGAACGTGACTTGAGGCAACTTGGGGATAGTCAGGAACCATGCAGTTGTGCAACTCCATCTTGGTGCCCCATCTTAGATGCAGAAAGACACCAAAAACCCTTGCGTCATTCTCAAAGCCTTCAAAACATTTGGATGGTGGCCACATCTCACAGGGCATGGGAACGCCTGAAACTGCAAAACATTCACCCCACTGAGAAGCACCTCTTTTTCTCTTTCGTAACGAAGGTAGCCATCTTCAATTTCCGCCTTGAGATTTTCCCTTTCTTTGTGTAGAGCCGATACTGCTTCTTCGAGGTGCATGTGTTCCTCCTTGATGTTTTCCAAATCTCTTTTGTTGGTTTTGGTCTCCTGATTTGCTGACGACCTTACCTTTTCCAGCTCACCCTCGGCTTCAGCAGCGGCCCGTGATGCACGATCACGAGCAATCTCCGCATCGTCAACCTGCCCAATTTTCAGCATTGGCGCTGTTACAGAGAATGATGTGGGGACACGTCGCACAATGCAACGGAAATTCCAAGCGATCCTACGAAGCTTGAAAAGCACCAATCCCTAAATACAATACAATGTCCTAAGCCAACTGGCCACTTTCAGCATGATCTCAGCACTTCTAAAGAACTGTACGGTCTGTGAAATGGAAAAATCTCACATGCTCTTGTGTCCAATGTGATGGAATGAATGAATGAAAATCCTTACAGGCAACTTGCAGATTGACACACTGGTCATGTCACTTGTCTGCTGAGCTCAGGTAGTCAAAACAGCGTCCCTCTGCTAGCGGTCTGTCCAATGTGATTGATGATGAGAGTATGTTCTAGAACAGGTTGGGCATAGCTGTGACAACTGTTCTCCAGAAATTGGACAGGCGAGTGGGCAAATGCTTGCGCATCATGGGCATAGCTACACATTATGTTCCGCCCTACTGTCATCAATCTGTAGATTTGGAGACGATGCAGGGCTGCAACTTAACTCAACTTTGGGAAAACTCAACTTTGATTCGACCCATCCTCAGATTGTCTTACTCAACGAATAATGCATATGTTGCTGCCATTTCCACCTATAGATTGCCAAGGCGACATAGCAACCATAATCACATTTCAGACATCTTAGCCCATTTAGCAACATAACATGCTTGACATTCTGTTTACATAAGAAATACAAATTGAGACGAATGCGATGATAGGATTTGTCAAATGCAACACCTTCGATCAGGATCCACTTGCAGTGATACGTGTATTGGCACACAATATTTACAAGCCTACATCAAAAGATAACGACATTGAAAATTGCTTAGCGCAACTCTCAACAATCAATTCTTATATGCATTCACCAACAGCACGATTGGATGATTGTTAGCAAAAGTCCCGTCATCCATTTGTGGTTTTCCTCACCTGTTTGCAGATTTCCTTCAGCTGGGATCGCGATGCACACGCTTCCTCTTCCAGCGACTTCAGGTGCTGCTTGGCATCAGAAATCGAAGATTCCAGGGAGGCAAGCGTGTGTCGTGCCTCAGTCTCCCTTGAGGCAACTTCAGAAATCTTCTCCTGGCATCCCTTCTCCACTTCCTCAATACTGGCCAGCAGGTCGCTTTCCTTCTTTTGGAACCACTCCGTTTGCACCTGAAGAAGGCAATGCCATGTCAACAAGCACCCTGTCGAAGCCTGCCATGGCCAGCATCCTGGGATTGGTTTCAAGGCAGCACAGCGTTTGGCAACGATTCAATTCACCACACACCCTACTAGCTTGGCACTCGGTCAGAGGAAGTGGTTGTGGGTGGGTGGGTGGTTTGGGGGGATGGGGGTGCCCCACCCAAGGTGCCAGTGCCAGGTGCTGGGTTCCGCAATTTTCCAGAGATTTGGAACGTGGCCATCACAGTGTAAAGCATGTGTGAATGCTTCCCAAAAAGGTGCTCTTGCACAAAGCTAGGGGATCGACAAGTCGACAATTGGGAGTCTGGCAGCTTCCAGTACTTTCAACGCGATTCCAGTGATTAACAGATGCTGCAAAAACTTCCCATTGGTTAAATGCATGCATGTGTATCACTCCAGCGAGCATGGCTGTGGGAGCAATGCGAGTTTTTTACAGTGATTCTGAGGCCTGCAAGACATGGTGCATCATGGCATGAATAGAATGCACAGAAATCACGATCTACATACAAACCATAACAACGAATATGCTTCAGGTCAAGGGAGGAACATCGCTGCCACAAGGAAGAGCACTTGTGGCTCTCAGTGCAAGCATGACAGCTACGTGAAATCCCTTAGTGTGGAAAGGGTTTGCAGGTGCACATACCAGACAGCTAGAATCCTCACACTGACCTGCACTGCGTCGTCCAGTGCCAGCCTCTGCTCTTCAAACAACTGGCGGTCGGCTGCAAGTTGCTGTGATTCTTCTCGATGCCTGCTCATCAGTGCATCCACCTCCCGTTTTGCTGCCTGCAGCTCCATTTCCCCCTTGTGCACAGCAATTTCCCTGTCTTTCAGATTTTCCTCCAGGTCTACCAAGGACTTCTCTCTGGCGAACACCCTCGCCGCAGCCTCTTCCGCGATCCCAATCTTGACTTCCCTCTCTGACAGCAGGCGACCCTGTTCCTCCAACTACAAAAAAGGCATAGACACACATCACCATCGACTCCTGCAACCCATTGGCAAAACTGACATCAGAACAATGGTTGAGATACCCCAACCAGAAGATGAAAAGATAACTCAGTGGCAGCAGCACTGGATTCAAGGATACAAGGCAGGGGTTGACCTTTGATCGTGCAGACTCTTCGGCACTCCTTGCAGCTGCTTCTTTCCTCTTCAGCGTGGCCTCGGCCTCATCCAGCATCTGCGATCGTGTTACGACGGACGCCTTCAGCTCTGAGACCGCCTTTCTGTCATGCTCAACAGCGTCCAGCAGCATGGCACGTTCAGCCGCCAGGGACGCTTGCTGGTCGGTTCGCTGGCCGTCAAGCGCCAAATGCAGAGAAGCCCGCTCCCTGTCAACTTGCTCAAGCTCAAGCTGATGTTCCCTGCATGAATTGCACATGGATTGACATAAACGAGTGCATGGCCATGCATCAGGGGTGTCATTGCAAGGTTTGCATGTGCATTATAATCCTTGCCCCTTCATAAGTTCTCTTTTTATCTTTGTCTTCTCATGTTACCCTCCTTTGCTTCGTAACTACAGTATGCAGTTCTGTTGTTAGCATCTGCTATTCACACCATTCCTCACAGCAGGAGAAAGAGCGACACAACCCTTGCGCAGCAAAGTGCCAGCACATGCAACATGCCTGCAAAACAATCTCCAACATGAAGTCTGATAATGACAAAATCATCAGAAAAGAGGGTTCTTAGGAATATTTGCCTTCCAAAACTTGACAAATAATATCCAACAGCAGTAGGACACTCTTGGTAATAATAAATAACTGCAACATCTTGAACAAGTATGCAAAACTGCCTTCAGTCTCAATTGGTACACCTGAAAGGCCGAAATACAAAGAAGCCATGAGACTGAAAATCAGATTACCTCTCCAATTTGTATGCTGCCTGATTGCTTTGATCTTTTGGCCAATGACCTAAGAACCTTTCTCTCGACATTAATTTGATATTGGGTGGTGGGCGATGGGCAGGGGTGGCAAGGAGGGGTGAGTGGCAAGCCGGCTGCATTGCACACATGCAACAAGTGCATCCGCTCATTTAGACAGGATGCAGCCTCTGAAAGTACAACAAAGCATTGGCCAGCTTTGTAGAGGCTCCAAATACATACTGCACAGGGCAGCATTACTGGGAACAGGTCCAAGAATAGATGTGATGATTTGCAAAGCTGGAAAACGATCTGTTCTGCTCCAATCTTCGCAGTGTTCCCGATGGATGGTGAACACCCAACTTGGTGCTGTTGAGGGGATATAGACCGGCACTGAACATGTCAACAGCAAATGCATAATGTGCACCTGCTGAAAATGGCCAATACAATTGACAGTAGCACACTTCAAAAACTGCAATAGACTGCATCAACCAATAGTTGTTGGGGACATTTGATGCCCCACAACTAGCGCCCCTATTGTTACTGTCTTTGTGGATAAAATAATGTCAATTAATGCAGAGGTACCTTGACACCTGTCTTTATGTTTGTTGACTGGTCTTAAATTGATTTAGCATTTCTGCAGCTGTTGTCCTCAGTAGTTATTATTCTTGCAGTAGTTATTATTCTTATTGCACAGGTAAATTGACACACTAGAACAAAAGCTCAACAACAAAAGCCAAATGCATTTGTGTACGTCAATCACCATCAGCCAGTGAACAAAACCTCAGCGCTTTGCTATTTTCTACAGCTGCAATCAATCACAGGATTAACAAACAAGTGTCATTCTACCATCGAACGAGTTACTGTCTCAGTTACAAAATATGTGCAGATTCCCGTGTCTGCACAAGGCCCACCTTTTAACCGCAGCTAGCTCTTGCCGCGCCACTGTCAGCTCGCAATTGACCTCCTCAAGCTTTGCAGTGGCGTGGCGCTCGCTGTTCTGCATGGCCGCCTTGGCAGCCTCTGCTCTGTCACGCTCAAGCAGAAAGGTGTCTCTCTGCTGCCGCAAAGCCTCCGCCTCTGTCCTCAAGCCTTCAACCTCCATACCGCACCTGGCCTGGCTCTCCCCAACCTGCCTCAAGAACTCAACCGATGCCTGGTGCAGCACTGCGTCGCCCTCTGCATCTTGGGCGCTTGGGATCAGAGGCTGGACGCCCACAGCAGGTGGGATAGGTGGGTCATGCACAGGGGGCCTTTCCCTGCGCCTGTATTTACACTCTTGTCCGTCAAGTTCCATCAGTGCACAAGCACATGTTCAGCATATGTAAAACAGCCTCAAATAATGGTGTGTTCAGTGCACATAATGTCCTAGTCACTGTGCTTCAGCGCCTTGTTTGGCCCAGGAATAGTTGCTGCCTGTCTCAGACCTTTGTGTGAGGAGCTACTTTCTGTGCATGCGAGTGGCGATCGTCTGAAACTGCCAGCATTTGTGGTGTGGAAACGCACCCTGGTGATAAGGACCTCTCTCTCATGGCCTTTTTCAAGTGTTTCTGGAAGTCTGGGGCGTTCCGTGATGCATCGGGTGTCCTTGTGCCCCCCAATGCGGGCTCGTTATCAAGTTCCTCCCACTGTCACATGAAAACATAGCCACCAGTTTCCAATTTGCTAAACTGCCATATTGTTAGTGCATATCCAGTCAGGTCACTTCGTACATGTCCCAAGCCTACTTTCCAATCGAGACATAGCCGTCCTACACCCATCCTCGGAGCTAACATTTGGACTGCACACTTTTGGATGGACCATTTTGCACAAGCGCAAAGGTGAACTTGAGGAGCCCAAGTCTGAGCACACTAGCCATATTCTGTGACGCGCGATCCAGGACTCCCACACTTAGTCGATTCTGGTTTTACGGCCGAAGAATTCGAGGTGCGTCACAAGGGGAGATCATACTTGCCAGACACAGGAACAGGAACGTGCTTTGCAGATATTGGGCCTAGGGAAATCTCAATGATCTTTTCAGCAAGGAGAGCCTCTGACGCGCTCCACAACAACAATTTTGCCAGGGATGGGCACTTCAAAGTCCTAAATGACGTCTGAGCAGGGCGCTCGGGCCTCGGTTCGGAAACTCGAGCGGTCCACTCGGGCTTCGACGCCAGCGCGCAACGCGCGACCTCTCGTATTCCAATGCACGCCTGCGCAATTGCCCAACATCCACCTCTTCCCGCCCCGCACAAACCGCCACACCTGCCAACCCCGCCGTCCCGGGGCCCCCGGCACCGCCTCCCGCGCTATCCCCGCAGCCATTCGCTCAATGCCCCACAATCCATCCCGCGCCAAATCCGCCCCAGCCGCGACCGCCATCCGGAAGGCCGGCGGCCAAATGAACAAAACAAACAACCAACGTCGATCAAGCCCCAAAGTTCGCGATCAGGAAAACAGTACGCCTGGCGGAGGATCGGAAAAGCGTTCGGGAAGCGCACCTTGGCCTCCAGCCGCCGGAAGCGAGAGAGAAGGTCCCTTGCAGATTTGGAGGCCATAGCGCCCGCAGCGGGGCCCTCCCTCCCGCTGCCGCCGGGGGGGGGAGCGCCGGCTAGCCCGTACAGGGGCGACCCAGCGGCCGGGGGCTCCTGGGTGGCAGGGAGGGGGTTGCTGGCGATTTCTGGATATCGGGGGTTGCTGACGTCGGAGGCGGGCCCCAGGGCCCGCGGCTGTTGTACATTGCGCAAGACGGGCTGAATGTCGCAAATGAGGCTTGTTTGGAGGCAAGCGGCGGCCAGCGTGGAAAATGGGTGTGAACAGTGCGCTGGGCATCCCCCTCGGTTGAACATGTGGTTTGTGTCTCCTTTGTGTGTGGCGGGACTTATGAACAAGCTGAGTTCAGCGTGAAAGGCACAAAACAGCAACAAACGAAACGATGGGAGAAGCTACAGCCAAACACTCTGGAGTTGGGGGGATGATCAAAATTTGTATGCCAAGACGTTACAGCATTGTACAAAGTACAGTCAGACCCGGGAGCAACAAGGCTACATCGGAAAGTTTTGCATTTCGAAATGCGGCCGTGCATGGATTGCAGGTGGTGAGGCACATTCTCTGCATATCTGAATGATATATCATTCTCCCAAAGTGCTGCCATCGTTGCTTCGCAGTGCATCCTGCAACAACGAGGTTCATGGTGCGGGAGGGGTTCAGCTCATAGACGTAGACCAACTGCCTGTCCCCTGCAACCGAGGGATCTTTGTCCAAGTTTTGTCTCATAATCTCAAGAGAATATCCTTCTGAGCATTTCTCTTTTTTTTATCGTCGCCATATCGACGGCACAAGGCGTCTGAGCACCGAACATCGCACGGCTGTGAAGCGCTGTACGATGTTCCATATTAGAACATTCTGGCTCACGATTTGAGACGTCATGTCGGCACTAGTGTTCAAGGCGCGTCTCGGGTTTGGGTATTCGTGAATCGGCTTGCAGTTCAGGAAGCCATCAAGAGCCAAGGACTCGTCATTTCATGCCAAGGGAGGAAACTTCCTTTTGAGACACTTCGGTACCCATCCCGGTGTAGCAGTGCGTGGTTTGTGTTCCGCGAAACTGGAGCGCCCTCTTCGCCTTTCCATATTGCGCGTGGTTCGGCTGGATCACACAGGTAACGCTCGGTGGATGTGATTCAAGGCTATGGAGAGGCCATGGAGGCTATGGAGCATCTGGTGATCCCTTAAGGGGTCATGAGAGTCCATGCTAAAAGCATCGGGCAGAGTCACAATGCTCTCAAGTGATTCTTCGTGGAATCCAATTGGCAAAAACGACAGCAATGTCAATGCGGCACAAGCGCACAACTTTGGAGTCCAAAGACGAAAACACTTGCGACTCGAGAGTCTCGATTTGGATCCTCAGAACATACAAGCACTGAGACTTGCTATGATGTCCAACCCATCCCTCAAGAGTGCCGAATCTCTTCTTTGAGATTGAGTGCTCACATTCGTGCACTTAATCATTCGGACTTTTCCTCGACTTGCACCCGTCTCGAGATGGCACAGCCTTTCACTTGGGACGGGGGCGGCACCTGGATTCTCAAATGAGATGCAGCCTTTCAGAATCAAAAAAAAAAAAACGCAACCAGCAGCAACAACAACAACGATAGGTACCTAGACCGTTTGTGCACAAGCCAACCTGTCGTCGTTGACAGAATAGCATGATCATACAAAGTGCCAAACCCTTAGGTCGCATTCAAGCTATGCTAGTGTACACACGCAGCATACCATACATCTAATTCACATCATCCAAGAATACAGACCAAAACCTTCCGATGAGAATGTCAATGACCAGAAAACTGCAGGCCTCCATGGTGGGTAGTGCCCCATTGGAGACAGACGTCGCCACCGCCCTGGCGCCTCCACAGCTCACAGCGCAAGCTCTATGAGATTGGCCTGCCCGCTGCACAATACCATCCTGAGACATCCTGAGATACCATCCTGAGACCATCCTGTGCCTGCTGCTCCCACTGTGTGAGTAGTACATCAGCCGCCTTTCTGAGCTTTTACACTGACTCTTGTGCTTTGGGGTTCTTTGTCCAGTTGATGCTCCAATCATAGTCTTGCCACGATATTGAGGCGTCTTGTGGCACATTGTCTCCCTGTTCAAGACCACTCGGCACATTTGCTCCTACCTCCGACCTTTGGAAAATCAGATCAAGGATAGGGTACAACTAGTGGGGCGAAGCAACACCACTCATGCAGCATCACGAAGGGGCCAAAAATCCTGTCACGTGCTGCATTATTGCAAGCAAGAGCCTGACCATGACGTAAGCTATCCATCTATTCTGGGAAGGCTTGTGTGCGTTTGAACTGTGTGTTTGATGGAGCTGTATCAAGCAAGGTCTGCTGTTGGTGAATGCAGCAACGTGCAGAGCACAACTGACACAAACTGCAGCTCTGGTTGCCTCTTACAAGGCTCTCTTCCCTTTCTCAACTATGCTAAAAAGTATCCTCATGAACTGAAAGAAGCAAGCTGAGGTGGCTCAGCAACACATTACCCACCTCCACCCCACCCCCTATACTGTTTCACTTTTGCTATACGGGTCCCCTGAATGAAAGCTTCTTGCATTTTGTGTTGATTATGTTGTGTTTTCATCATTTCGCACTGGAGATACTCCATCATCTTCTCATAACATGACAAGAGACTTGCATACACTGGCTAGGAAGGGTTGCCCTTTGTATGACTTGTTTCTCTTTCTCTTTGTAACAAATCTTACCCCCAACCCCATCAATCAAACCACAAAAAAAGATCAGTCATCCTGCCCAACCACCCCCCATCATTCTCACTTTGCTCCTCATGCCAACAAACTGTTGTGTGTTATTTCTGACGAACTCTGAGACTTCCACACTTCTCTTGCAAATCAAGAAAATACCTTCTGCATGAGCATTACTGGTGTCTTGTCATAATTCGCCTGATGTAGCCAATAGGAATGACACACAGTACAGTACCAATGGCATGACGGGCAGGCTCTCTGCCCTTGAACCACACAACCTACCTTCTTGTACTTGTTGATGAAATTGATGATTCCACCACCATGTGTATCAAAGTCACCCTTGTACCACTTGAATATCTTGCTCATAGACACGGCCTTGCCATTCACAACAGCGCCCCCCTGGACATTGATGAACCTGCTAGTAGCGCTGTCGAGCTGCTCTGAAAAGGTGTCAGCATGGAACAGCTCCTGTGGCAGTCTTGGGCAGCTCCAGCTGCAGCAGTTGATAGCAAAATGCACTCGGGGTTCGTTGTATGCACGAATTATCTTGTTCTCCAACTGCAGGAAAGTGAGGATGCAAACAGTTAATGGCAAATCAACTGCTTGTTGGAAGGCACAGCAAACTACTGAGGCTAAAGCTGCTGCATGTTCGATGTGGTAGGACAGCACTTCCAGGTGTGTGGGAGCCCAATGCCTGATTTCAAATCAGGCAATGAGCTGACTGCAAATCAATTCAATGCCTAAGTTCTCTTCAGTCGATGTTGCTTCAATGCTGCATTGGGAGGGTGTGTACTGTCAAGTTGGGTGTAGAGATGCGACATGGTGACATGACGATCTCTAATGTGTGTTTCCTGAGCAAGGAAAACTGCATAAGCGTGTGACAATCAAAGGCTTTAAGAATGCCAACACAAGGCAGCAAGCACCAAAATGTTCCAACAAATTCCAGATCCCCATTTGGAAGCCTTTAAAAGGTGTGCTATCTCCAGCAACAAGAGCTTCTTTCACGTGAATCAAATTCCATCTTGCTAAATGTTGGTCTTGTAAAAGCTAATATCTCATGACACAAGCAAGGGCAGCACCTTGTTATCTTTCTGACAATCGCAGCACACAAGATTGTAACTCAGCTTTGGGTACTCCCAGGTTCGGTGCATAATAGTTGAATACAGCTGCCCTACTAAGATGAGATTTTACGCAAACTGGACAGCCTGCAGATTGCTGGAGACAATTGTTTTCGAACCGATGCAAGTAGACAAAATTCCCCTCCTCCAAGATTCAACAGTCTTGAAGCGCAAGTTAACTGATTATCTACACTGCCCATGGCCACAACGATGTAATGAGGACAAGGATTCAGCACAGGGTCACATATCCTCTGTTTTCTCAACCGCTTCAGCAAGCTTGCAAAGAGGTGAGTACTCGTACGTTGAGAAGATTCATCTTCTGTCCTGCCACGGTGACCGAATGCAGGTAGAAGAACTTCCCCTTGTCTACGAAACCTGTGAGCCCTGTTGCGAACAGTCTACGCCAGTCAGCTAGTGTCCAAAGGAAATGAAATTTGCATAGGGTAACGATGAAAAAACGTGCTCCTGCAGGATATACTGCGCCAATGCACACAAGAATGACACCCACAATTCAGCCACAAGTCTGAAGGCGGCGTTCGCACGAGGTGCTGCGAAACCCTTTCCAAGTTAAGAGGACGGCCTTTGGCTGTTTTCCAGAGAACCTGTCGATCCAACAATGCACATGTTCGGATGCCATGTGCCTGGGTCGGATGCCAGTCTGCGAAGTTTCCATAAGCCTGACAAAAGCACAAAACTTGTGCCACTGTCCTCGCTGGTTCTGCTGCCTTCGTCGAGCGTCTTCTGCCACTGACGCCCGTCAATGCGATGGCCTCTTCCCTGGCGGTCCACACAGCTCACAAAGACCGCGCGGACAAGCCGCGGCAGGCCCCCAATCCCCACCTTTCCACTTCCCCTCCGTCTTCTTCAGCTTCTGATACGCCAGGCACATCGCCAGCATGTTGTACGCGTTGCAGTAGAACGCCAGGTCCCTGCTGGTGCGCTTCTCGAAGCCATCCAGCCCGGCATACTGCTCAGCGACCCGGGCGTTGTGCTCCAGAGCTCCCGGGCCCTCCTCCAGGAACAAATCGTACCGCACGAGCCCATCTGGCGTTATGTACTTGTCCATTGGCTGCCAGTCCGGTTCCGAGTTTCCAGATCCCGCGGCATCGGATGCCATGGTGAGGGCGAGGGACCTGTGGCGACGGAGGGGGGACGGGCCTCAGTGAGGCCTCGGTGGGGTCGCGGGGTGTCCGGGAGTTGTGGCCAGGTTGCGACAGTGGGGCTGTGCAAGGGGGGTGTGGACGGTATATGCGTGCGTGTTGCGGATAAGGGGCGAGGAGCAACGTTGCTCCGCGGTTCTATGACGTTGACACTGGGCAACGCTGGGCGTTGGAGCATGCAAACTAGGTAGTGACCAAGCCAGGCAGGGTCAGGAGGTGGTACCCCCAGTCTCAAACTTACACGGCAACGGCTTGCAGCAGCGCAAAGGGACAACAGGAATTCTGTCCATTATATACCCGGTCCGTTCATCAGTGTCCAAGAGTAATTTCCTATTGTTTCATCACCTCTGTGCGTCCAGCTATTAACAATGCCCAGTCAGTTTTGGTTACAGCATTAGTTTGCCGCACTTCGGTGCAGCAGCGCGGGAACAGAAAGGAAGAACGCTCGCAGCCATTCAGCACGGGCATATATATCATTGTGGTGGACTGGGGTTTTCTTGCGTGCACGAGGGGTGGGAAGCAACGCGAAGAAACGAGGCTTAGAGCTTTGGAGGCCAGAGAGACGCTAGTCCCTCCGCTGGACTATGTGCATATCGTGGCCAAAGTGGCGTGCATGCAAAGGAGTGTGTTTGACAAAATAAAGGCAGCTGGAGAATGAAGACACTCTTTGAGTCCAGACTATGTTTATCTCGCGGGAATAAAATTCTTAGAACTACCAAGCGCACGCAGATATGAAAGGAAAACGCAACGAGAGCTTTGTGCAGTTGTTATACTTGCAAATTCGATGACACTGACTTATGTAACAATTGTTTTGAATGCTTTCTTCGTTGGTTGAGAACAGTACTTGCTGTCTTTATTGTTGTCGTGTCCACACCGCTGCCTGAACCTCGTTGTTGCTCTGAAACTCAGTATGAACAATGACCAAAGAATGTCAGAGAACTTGTTAGAAATGCCGAACTGGCATCTAGCAGTGCTGGCATTCCTCAGCTGCACACGCAAATCCACAACGCAGCTCTGGTGGCGAGACTCTCTGTGTCATGGGCGCTATCGTCCATGCGTTCAATGGATCTCCTTGTCTGCCCTTGATAGCCATGCCACCTCCATGCATGCTTGGTCTTTGCTGCGTAAACACGGAGTACTTACGCATATTTACAGCGTATTTACGGTTTACCCGTAGATATGCGCAAAAATACGTAGATTTAGACCCGGTGTACATAAAGACAGTACATGGAGACTCAGGGAGCCCTGGGGGTGGCAGCTAAATGCGCTGGAGTGGGTAGAAAACGACCTTTTGTTCCATCACGTCCTTGCCCTTGGCGAGTGCGAGGTGGACGCTGTGTTGCAGGTGTTCGAGGAGGAGGTGGGCTGGTCATTGTTCGCGACTTCATCACATGACCTGGGTGTCCTGGTGAGCCGCAAAATACGTAAGTACAGCCGCAGAAATAGCCTTTATTTGACAATTCACGTTCTTGCGCGTAAGAACATGAACGTGAAAACATAAACGCAAAGACCATGCGCGTCTCCATCTGCAAGCAACCCTATTGGGGTGGTCAATCGGGCTGGGCAGTCCTTTTCTTTGTTCCCTGCGTAGCGCTGGGCCGGCCATACATTAGCTTTCAGCTCTTGTTATCTCTCTTGATTTTGGCCTGGGGCAATTTATGCATGAAGGGAAATTGGCTACTAAAATGGCGGTCATCAGTGAGACAGCACATTTTCTTTCCATTACTTTCTTTTTGCGGGAGCGGGGCGGGAGGTGTGGGGAATAATTGAAATATCCTATTGTCCGCAGTCCAGCACATCCCTGCGCAACCAACAACAGGAATGTTCCACACATCGCATTGCTGTAAGACCCGCAGCTGTTCGTATTGAATTTCTTGGAAAGCTGAAAGGTAATCCAACTTTGGAGCGCAATGGCGTGGCGCCGTACTACAACATCCTCCACCTTTTTTTCAACGGTACCGGGTACTGCACATACATTGCGGCCGCAGTGTATCGTTTTGCGTTCGCTGGAGCACTCAAATCATTCAGCGGTCATCAGGGCTTTTCTGCTGATGATTATCCGCATCACCATGCCTCCTGGAGACACCATATTTCCAACGATGATGTTGGCTATTGTCCAAATCAGTATTAAAAGTTTCGAAGGTGATAGATCTATCAATAAACTTGCATTGCGGGCCATTTACTGGGGGACATACAGTAGGCCATATTATCCCAATTGTGCACAGCACACTTGCCGAAGGACCATTCTCGCCAAAGCACCAGCACTAAGGAGCGTACACTGCACACCGTACCGCAAAATGTTCTGCCTGGAGGAAACAATTAGCCATTCGAGATGTGGACTTTGCGCCCAATCGGTTCCATCAAGAATGTGGCGCACACTGCGCTTCGACCCTCTTCAGCTCTCGACCCGCCTAAAGCTGTGCCTGGCTGATGCTCTCCAGCGCCCACGCTTCCACGCGATCTGCAAGGCGCCCCCGTCTACCACTCTCAAGGACATCCCAATCCGTGTTCCCGCGGGTTGCATAAAGACTTCGGCCCATTCCTTGTCCGCTTGGCGTCGCCTTTGAGGGTGCTGCTGGAGCAGGAGCAGAGGCTGGCTGGTCCTGGGCAGCGGCGCAGAGCTCACCTGTTTATGGCATCGAAGGCCACGTCGCAACGTGCCGGACGGGAGGGGCCAGCCATAGGCGCTGTCGGGCAACATTCAGGAGGTCGTATATAGCCGATCGGTGAATGGGCCAAGGAACAACCCGCTGAAAGCGCGACTGTGTTTATGGCGGCACCATCTGCAGTCCGCAATGGATTGGGTCTCCATTATGACGGCGACACGCTGCATCTGTCTTCCGCTTCCCCGCCGCCAGAGAGCTGCCAGATTCAAATGCAGGAGCGCAACGCGCCTGCGTCCAAGTCGTGGGCGTGTTGAGGCCCTTGGGCAGTGCTGCCCTAGAGCAAAGGGCCGAACCAAGTGCAGTAAATGTGGTTGGTCATAATTTACTAATTTACAGCATTTTAGAATGCAATAGACGGAGTCACCAATTTCGTGAGACCGGACGGAGATGGCTGAGCACATGCATGCCTCAATGCATTGTCTCAAACAAGCCGACACGATTCTGGCAGCTCTGCACAACAGGATGGAAAGTGACGGGGGAAGGTCATCACTCCTTCAAGATGAAGCAGCGAACGCGACAATCAGAATCAGGGAAGCAAGCGCCAGCCACACAGCATTCGCCATTCCCGCGATCAACTCGCTTCGGTTCTTCCCGCGGAAAATTCCGAGACTTCCAATGAGGGCGACAGGGGGCAGGATGAACGCCACGATCAGAAGGAGCCAGTAGACGTTGAAGGGGCTGTCTTTCTCCCAGGTGAGGAATTTGGGCAGGCTGCGCTTAAAGCCCTTTCGAGCTCCTTCCTCTGCCAGTTTCACAGGCTCCATCGAACTTTCTGCCACTACCACCCGTGGGCTGGTTGCCTGCACAGCAGTTGAGCATGCATTGGAATCCCCCAATGGCAGGATAATGGATGCCACAGTTCAGAAAAGAACTTGTATGCTCAGGGCGGCACAAAGGACCGGCTCCAAGAAGAGCGATCACTGCATAATCACTCAGCTTGTCGTTCGACCTCATTGCTGTTTCTCCTTTTTGGCCACGGCACAGCAATTTCATAATGGAGTTGAGCCCCGTTTCTCAAGGTTATCAAAATGGACAAAAAGCATGAACTCATTCCAGGATTTGAAGGAGGACAGCGCGATCAAAAACGGCCAAGAGCCAGATGGGATTCTTCAGTGCGCTCAAGTGGCATTTCGAGGCAGAAAACTAAGCGCCTTGTTGTTTACGTTCGTGGCATCATCCTTGCAGCAATGTAAACAGGCACATTTGCTGGTGAACTTGCAGCCGTTCACAATATCACATACGTAAGCTGGTGACACAATGTATGGTGCGCCTGCACGAGTCCCAGGACCGCCTCGGCTCAGCAAAGGGAAAAATATCGTCCAGAAAATGCAACAATGCGCGTATGATATCGATTGCGAGCGCATCCCCTCCTTCATTGCTTTCACGTCTGAACACACTAGCTAGTGACTATGGTCACAAAGCCAAAGGAGCAGCTCGCCTCCAAAAAGGAGGAAAGCGATATAATTGTGTGCAAATATAGAAAGCCATATTTACTCGAGTCCATGCATAACCATGGCAGACCTGAAATCGCAGCACGATGGAAGTAGCCGGAAGCACCACTGACGCGTTTGGGCGAGCCATATTTATTCCAAAGGGGGCTGCCACCACTGTTATCGCAACTAAAGCGCTGGGACGACTGGACTGCCGTATTGCTGTGGAACACCTTAGTCTGCAACATCCTAATGACTTCTGAATGCAGGGGTTTGCAGCGTTTGGAAACATGGATGGGTAGTTTCAGAATGGTCCGACATTGTGGCAGCTGCACAGCAACGTCAATATGAACCTGATAGACGGCTCGCCAGCCAGTGTGACATTCGTCGCTAGTGATCCAAAATTGACGCAAGTGCACAAGTGCTTCAAAATTGGCCACAAATAGTTCGCCCACACCGCCTGGCGATTGGCGCTGCTGATGCGATCAGTTTCAGATGCGGGAGAGGAACATGTCGCACCTGGCTGGGGAGCGGGCTTCCTGGTGGGTCGACCAGCACCCCGGCGACGATCGCTGAGGAAAGAGGCACCCCGCTCAACGTCTCGCTCCGGGACCCCCCCGTGTCGTGGACCTTACTCTGCCCATCTTCCGAAGCCATCTGCTCCGCCTCTCCCCAAGTCGGTGCCACCTCTGGGAACATGTTAGGAAGCGATCGTCACGCACCTGCCCCTCCTCGACGGGGTGATTGGCTGGCCTCCGCGCCGTGAGATGCAGCGGTTAACGTCATGGCCCGGCAAGACGAGACTCCAAACGAAAGCTGAGGGAATCCCGCCGAGGGTGCTCCCCGCCAGGGACACGGGGCCGGGCAGGGCATGTCCGGTCTACCTCGGTGCGAGTTTAATGTGAATACAGTTCCAGGAACCCGGCTGCCCACACGTCGACGTGCATGGGATCATCCGGGCAGAAATCCCTTCTATGGAAGAGACTGACTGGGCGGAGACGGACTGGGCGGGGAGGCCCACTGGCAAGGAAAGGGCGGGGTGGTGGCGCAGGAGCCCATTCTGCATACGCCTGCAGCAGCCTACAGTATGCATTTGGCAGCCGTCGTCTGGGAATCCAACTACTCAAAACAGAGAGAACCACGGCTATGGTGGTGATCCGTTCATGGTTTCGTTTTTTGGCCGGACATGGCACGCCGGGGGTTTGGATCCAGACCCTTGACGCACCAGCGAAAGGTCAACCAGCAAGAATGTCAACTACCGTGATCACGATCGCCTGCAACACACTTCGGCAAACTCCCTGCACTGCCTCCAGACTGCCAATGCGCGAAGCCCAGGTCGTATGCAGTCGCACTGACGACCACAGGGAAGGTAGCGGGGCCAAATCGACCGCCAGAGTTGGCAGAAGGCAAACAATGGGGAATGGAAGCTGCTCCCAGCAGGACACGGCCTGCCACCGAATGTGCAGCCCGTTTGATTCACGAACACGATCCTAGCACCCACGAGTGTTTGTCGCAAGCTGAACGACCGCCTCCGCGACTCTGCTCAAGGCACGGTGTCCGTTTCCGCGGCTTGGGGCTGGGGAGGGTGGCCCCAGGCGACGCTGTCTGCAGAACTGGGTGAATTTCGACTGAAGCCTCTTTGTACTTCATGCTGAAGGGAACCTGCTGGGTCTCACATACATTGATGCGCCCTTCCAGCACCTTGATGCGCAGTAGGTTAAACGCTCCAAGTCAGCCTCTTTCAGCGTCCAATTTGTTCAACGCAGAGCTCATGTTCTCTTTCCCAGTTGGCTTTCTCAACTGCGTTGTGCGAATTCGCTTATTGTGGTTCTGTCCTGCACTGAATGTGGGACCTATGCCGACCTTTCATCTGATAAGTGCCCGGGCAACACAACACCATAAACCGTTTGGAGATTTTGCATTGAAAGCCGCAAGGCTTGCCAACAAGGGAAGATAACAATTTAAAATACCGCACTAGTGATTTTACTGGGCTGAATATTGCAAAAGGTGGCCGTCTGACGTGGCAGCCACCCGGGCGAAAATCCACAAAGCGCCACGCATTCGCCTGTCCCGCCTTCCGGCTGGATTGGATTTGCCTCGAAGTGGATGAATCTGGGGTCGTACAGCTCCCTCGTGAACACATCGCCAGCGATTGCGCCATGGAAAATCTGGCTCAAACTGGCCTCCAGGCCTAGCACCTCCGGGCTCACTCAGAAATCCGGGCCTTGGGTGAGAAACACGCGGGGAGCCATTGCGATTCTCACAGAATCGCTTCGAAGCCCATGCGCTTGAACGGCGAGATTGCAATGGGCATGCTCTGCCCAAACTGGAGCGCAGCAGACCTCAAAGTCTTCGCTGTGAGGCCGATCTGGTCGGGCTGCGCGCCACGGCCTGTATGCACTGGTCGCACACGAGGAGAATGCCAACAAATCATTTACAACCTCGCGGACTATGGTCCGTCCGTTCAGTCAGACGAGTCCCTCAGACACTCAGCACAGCAGCATACAGCCTAAACACAGCACGGCAGCCACTCCCTAAATACACTAGCCACGTCAGAAAGGGCAGTACAACCAAATAGTATACAAATTCTGTCAGTTCACGTCCAAACATGGCAGTTCACATCATTCTCACTCTCCGTGCACCTCATTCTCTACTATTCGTATCACATCTGAGTGCGCTTCCGTAAACCTCACAGCATGCTCTTCTCATCCTCACATGACCCCCTTGCAACCCTCAGGTTGCCATCACTGCACTCCTTCGTCACCTTTCCAGCATGCGCGCAGCACCACAATCGAATCTATGCCGCTGCCTAAAAGATTCGCAGGAATATTCGTTCACACCTGCTCCGCCTGCTCTTTTCCCGCAATACAAGGTACTGCTCAGGAACAATGCTGTGAGCCACGCCGCAAATCAGCACAATGATACTTCTTGATTGAATTAAAAGACTGATACACTTACCCAGCGCATCAATAACAAAAGTCTATAAATTTCCATGACCGAATTCTTGATGTTTCCATGCATAACACGTCGCATCCCTATATAGGGACGCCTAATATATTGGGCTGTCAAGCGCCACAGAACCACGTAAAATACATCTGCCCGAGGCAGAAGAATTGAAAAGAAATGACATCACACCTCGCCCTAGCCTGCTGCGAATAACTCGTGCATCTATCAATTTGAAAATCCAGTTCATTTGGCATCTTCATACACAGCAATCCCAAAGAGTCAGACCTGCTTCCAGCAGCGATCTTGGTACTTCCTCAATCAATTGGGTCAGGGTGGCAGAGCGCTGGGTCATTGATGGCTTTAGCATATGCTTACGTGTAAGCTGTAAAGCGGTATACACAACATTCGAGTTCCGCGTTGACAATAGTCAAACGGATTGATCATGTATTCTTGAGACTTGGCAGCGTAATCATCAATTGCATAGATTGCCTTGTACACGTCGACGACGTAGATTTGTCGCAACACGCATCAACACCTCTCCTGGGCCAGGTCCGGTTGTCCAGCTTTGATGAAAATTTTGGCCCAATTTTGACCAGCGCTAGTGCCTCTCGCCGTTTGCGTGTTCCGCAAGCCGCAATCCTGCGCAACCTTCGAGGCCTCCACCCGGTGAGTGGATCCATTGGCGAAGATTCGCCACCAGTCTCATCCATCGCCCGTCCCATCGACTACCATCGGTGCTTGCAGCCCCTCGATCCTTATTGCCGGTGTGATGCAATCGACATGCATTGCGATTACGGTACGGGGTGCTGCCATGATATATACGCTCCATTGTAGGCAGTACATCTGTGCGTCCCCAGGGAAGCCGATGCACACTGTGTGATTCTGCATGCCACCCCCGATGAAGACCCGAACGGCGCCCTCACAATCCCCACCGCCTGCCCCTGTTTTCTTCTGGCAGAATGGCAGCGCTCTTGCCCCCCTACAACCCTACCAGGTCATTTTCTCTGTGCACTTCCGGAATTAGGATCGCGGCCTCCCCCGATGGGGGCCCCGCATAGCCCATCCGTCAAGGATAGTCGAAGCGGATAGATGGCTGCATTCCATCCTGGTGCATCAGCTCGGAAATGGTTCACCAGCAGTCCTGTGGCCTTACACCTAGTCGGAGTGCGCTCGTGCATCCTCCCGGCTTGTGTGGGTCCGTTCGGACGGGAGTGGCGCGGATTCGCCGTACTCCGCGAAGTCAAACTCCTGGATCGTGTCGTGGTGACGTGGGCATGTCGATTTGTGGCATTTCCGTATGCGTATTGGGTGCGATCGGTGGTTCGACTCCAGACCAAAATGCAGCTCTTGTGGCTCCCTTGGCCCATCGCTGATATGCCTGAGCAGCTCGGCTTGGCTTCCATAATGACTTCGCAACTGCCCTTTTTCTGCTTGCCACACGGACCGCCGTCTTGCCATATTTACTAACCCAATGATTGTGTACTTTGAGTTTTGTTACTAGCGTATTTGCCCGGTATTAGTAGGCGTGCATTGGACCCCCAAAATGAGTTGTGGATACTAATAGGGGTTCATGTATACCAACGTGGTTTGTACCCTGATCCCAAAGACTAGACGAAGAAAATTTTTGACGAATAGGCCAAGAAATGCCCAGAAATGGGCAAAAATAGCAATTTCATTTGCGGAATATTGTCAGCCTCTTCACAGGAGTTGGTGGCCTTGATTTGGCGCTGCACCAGGGGGTGCGACTGGCGATTGGGGCCAGCAGGGGTTTCACTGGAATGCTCGAGGCGCGTTTGCCTCTGCAATGCAAAGAACGAGAACCGACATGGGTCTCGACTTGCTGGCGCAGCATGTCGCAACGAATCTCGATGCAAGGCGTTTTCCCTGGCTGATGGTGGCTGGGAAGGCTGATAGGATCTGTGATTGGGTTTGTGGCCTGGTAGCCAGTGCAATGTGTTGGCCCGGCCTTCGCAGCGTTTTGCAGGCAGTTTTGCAAGGCGGGGTCTCACAATGGCAGCTGCGCCAACCAGCGCCGCCGCCTACCCATTCCTGGCGCTGGGCCTTGGGGCCCCCTTGGCAGGCGCCGGGCTGGAACCTGTTCTAGCCGTCTGGGGAGCAAGTTGACTCAAACCAGAAACCAGGGCGGCTTTGAATTCTCGACTGCTTCTTTGATCGGGCCTTGCGGGGTCGGTCGCTACCCAGCGATCCTGCGTTGAGAGCGCCAACGGCGGCCAGTCGACCATGCAGCCTTTCGCGGGCACCCTCCCGAATTCTCCCTCGACAGCATCCACCCCGACCCGATCGCCCCCGCCGATGTGCGAATTGCAGGGAACGTGGTTCGGTCCAGACTGGGCAACGAGGTCCAACACCAGCCGCTGACTTCCGTTGCCACCATCTGCACCTTCGCTCATTTTGACTATGTTTGGGGGCGGATAATAACACCGGGTCATGTATGCTAACGTGATTTAGTCCCCCAGGGGCAGGGGCAGGTGCCAGAGTACCAGGAGGAGTGGCCGACCAAAGAGACGACCAGTTGCCGTCTTCACAAGACACAGAGGTATTTGTGTGTGCAGGTATCCAGAGACTTGCCCCAAAAGTGGCAGCTTGTGCTTCGTGGTGCGGGTACCTGGGTGAATTGCCAATCGACAGGCAGAACCATCTGCGTCTTGTTAGAAACCGGTGATAGGTGGGAAACCCGCAGAGTCACAGCCCCCGCCACACAGCCCTTCATGAGTTGGGGTGTCTTGGTTGGAAGCATCGGAGCTGCTGCGCAATTCACAGTGTCTTAAAATTTTCGTTTCTGATAAACACAATTCCATGCGTTTCGGTGCGATGACCACGATAGTGATTATAGTTCAGGGTAATGGCGGTTATGATCGTGATCTTGGGGCTTGTCTTGTAGCTAACGTCTTCAGGTGCGCAGCTCCAGCGATGGCCTTCGTGTCCTAGGAGCGCTTGAAACCGAGCGCCTGCGAGGTTGTCTGCCCTGAGTGCCATGCACAGACATTTATTTAACGAAGAAAACAACAGGAGGAAACCTTTTGTTGAATGAACACAGGTCACCTCCAGCAACGCGCAAAATAAACACACTGGCCACGGCATGGATGTTTATTGAATTCAGATGGCCAGATAGCTTTGGCTGCAGGCAGTCGAGAACTCTCTCACAATGGCTGCCAAAGAGCACCCCAACTCCCATGTCATCAGAGCAGCGACATCAACAACATAGGACAGAATACGCAGAGGGCATCGAGCGATTGACAGCAAACAATTGGCAATCTCGCCATGGGGCTTGAACTGGGGTTGAGTAATCGAGGAACACTTTTGGCCAGAGCACATGTTCTTGCTATTACACTAGGCATGTTGAAATCAAGGCATGTCATTTAGTTGGGGTATGGCGTTGGCCGCGTCCCAACCTTACATCGTTTTCACTGCACCAACGCCATAACGTTTACTCATAACCTTACTTTAGCAGGGAATATGATCGGCAAATAGCGCTTCACAGACCGTGAGACAGGCCACGCCATAAAACCAACGCATCTTAGACCTTCAAGAACACTGAAACCTGTGAGCCATGCACAAGCGAATCGAACAAGTGGACTCCTGCGGTCGCGTGCTTGGCACATTGTTACCGGTGCTTGGTTTCCACGCCCATCATCGCCTACCAGGTGCACGGGTCGTGTTTTGTCATTTTGTGACAAATGTAATCTATAGATTTTGCTGATGATGACATTGTTACCTTCTCGGCCCTTTTTCCTATCAGAATTTCCACCACTCGATCATGCCCACGCTTGGCACACTCATGGGCCGCTGTGTTTCCCTCCTGCCACACAACAAAACAGACAGTAACTGGTACCGTACCTCTCTAAGACGGCATTTCCAGGATGTGGGTGGAGGTCAGGAGCGTATCTATCCACATCATGCGGCCAGCCATGGCTGCAACAGTGCTGTGCTGTCAATATTCTTAGCTTCAAACCGCCTTGTGTTTTCTTGTGGGGTGGCAACCCCACGGCTTTTCGTTGGGACAGGGATAGCACCTGGACTCGCAAATATGCCGCAGTAGTTGGACAAAATGTGTGCAGTGTCAACTCTGACATGGTGCTGTTGTTACGATCCTGCCCATAATATAATGCGTATATTGGACACTTTGATCGATGTCCATTTGGTAAGAAAACTGTGAATGGAGTAGCGTACGCCAATGCTTTGTGCGTGCAGCGGATGTGTTTCGCCAACATCCAGCAAAAGCAACAATAGGAGCAGGCACCTTGCTGGGTCAGAATTTCAGCAGTTCACACATCGTTTGGAAGCCGTTTCTTCGTATCCGCGGTGGGGTTTTGAAGTGCAGGTGTGGCAAAGGTACCTTGTTCTTTATCTGTGAGTCAGCGCCATGTTCCAGCAGTGTCGCCACAACGTGCACATGTCCTTGGGCAGCTGCAATCATGAGGGCAGTTCCTCCATCCTGAACAACATATCCAGTCGTCCTTGACATCACGATCTCCCATCAAGCAGCGTGCACAACAATCTACAGTGCTCCTTGTAGCTGACAATTGAAGATTTCAATTTCGCCAGTCTCCTAGCAATTGAACTCGCTACTTTCTCTGTGCCCCTCCTCTTATCAGCTTTCAACTCAGCTGTCAATTGAAGTTGAAGTTTTGAAGGGCAAAGCTCCCGGCTGGGCAATGACCCCATGACTTGAATTTGCAGTAAAGGTCGATACATACACTGGCCAAAAACACCACTTTGGCGATGCCAACTGTGATGCCATTCTGACACAGAGTGGTGACATCAGAGTGATTGCGAGGGTATCAGATGGACTGTAATGGAATGAAATAGTGTCAAATGGCATCACTGTTGGCATAGTCAAAATGGTGCTTCTACTTGTGATGGAACCCAAGTAGCCAGGTCAGCATCCTAAAGAGAATGCTGCAGTCGCAAAGTTCTGAATACAAATACATGCGTGCACACATAAATGCCAATGCCTGGCTGTGCATGGTGTGGCGTTTACTGCAAACTGGGTGGAGTCCAGCATAGATCACCTGTTTCTGGGCATCCACGTCAACTCCCTCACCCAGGAGCATAGTGACAACGTCAAGATATCCCTTGGAAGCTGCCAGCATGAGGACTGTCCATCCACTCTACGCCAGACCAGAAACAAAACCCGCAATAAAAACAATAATCTGTGATGAATGCACTGGAAAGGATTGTACTGTATCAACGTCAATTTTGACTCAACGCTGAGGTCATTGAAATCAAAATTCTTGCGGTTTCCTGCACCGCACAGATGTCAGCAGATGTCTTGCTGTATTCCAGCAGCTGTGGCACAACGCACAAATATCCCATACCCTTGTTCGGACAGGAAGGCCATAAAGGGCATGAACGCCATGAAGGTCACCAACGTGATTTCGGGTTTCAAGGCTTTCAAGTTACGGGTGCCTCGACCACTCATACTAGATGAATATGCAGTGACTCTGAAATGTCTTTGGACAAAGGTTGGTCGAAAACAGGCAAGTCAATCCCTCCTGATGTTATGGTCATGTGCATCGCAGATCCTTTTCAACAAGTTGAAGCCTCTGTGCATGCTCTGCCAGTGCACGCTCTGCCGCTCATGCCTAGATTAGGAACATGCCCATCTCGCCGCTTCGTGCTCAATTAAACATGTGCGGAAAGCAAAAGAAGACTGTGTCCTTACTCATTGGTGCCGGAATGCATCCGGGGTGATCCCCTGTCAACAGGAACACGACCGCCAGAATGCAATGTCAACAACACACCTTGTTCCGGGCCTCGAGATATGCCCCTCTATAAATCAGCAGGCTGATGATCTTGATCGACTTGGTCAATATGGCGAACATGAGGGCCGTCACGCCATCCTGTCCCACCACACGACACCACCACGTCGTCAAGTGTGCATGCTGAGAAGATCGGCAAGTGTTGACACAGAGGAAAACTTGGCAATTGAATTGTCAATGCGATCTGCATCTTCGAGAATGCTCGGATGTTGGCAATGATTGATATCACAGGGTGCACGGGGTTGTGATACAGCAAGTTGGGTCGTTCCTTGTGGCCGTGCAGGTACACTTTTACATGGTGATGGTTGGGTTGCATCAAAATAGCACATCGTACCAATGCAGTTGTCCATTTGAAGAACACTATGACGAAAACCACGCTTTCCAAACCGTAGTCACTCCCAGGCACAAGAGCAAGGCCGTAACCAGATGCATTACAAGATGCGCGTACCAATCAAATAAACTTGTTTAAAGCATAGTTAGTTCGCGAACACCTTACCGTCATACACCTTATAATCACTTGTTTATCTTTCTCTCCTTCACAGGCATCATTACCGTAACGAAAAGAGGTATACCCCTTCCCACACCCCACCCCGCCCCACCCCGCCCCACCCCGCCCCACCCATCCACCCATCCCACGCGTTATACTATGCAAAGGTCGATATTGCCCACCAAGTAGGAAATAATCTTCGAAGACAGACACTGCCATGTCATATTTTGGTTCGAATGCAAGTCCACAGATGACAGGTTTGCGGAAAAAATATGAACAGCGTTGCTCCCAAGGCTCCTGTTCTTGAGGAGAAAAGAGTAACTGGATGAAATTTCCAAAGTGTCTGTCACCTCATTTGCATATTATTCAATCTCAATATTCAATACTGTCCCCTCCACCTTCCATGCCATGTCATCCCATTACATGCACAGCGCCACATGACACTCACTTCATTCTGCATATCCATGTTTGCCCTGCCATCGATGAGCAGCTTCGCAATTTCAAGGTTTCCCTTCCCGGCAGCAAGCATAAGTGCCGTCCTGCCGCCCTGAAGTCCAACAGAAAAGCACATCATTTATTATTACCGATCAACCGCCGAGCGTAAACTGATAAACCAGGTTCTGAGTTGTGGAACAAAATACCGTCTCCTTTCTGCAGTCTGTCATATTGTGAAATGTGACTCTGTTTCGCATTGCTCATTTTCATACTTCCTGGGCATGGTGGGCACATCGGGCCCAGCGATTGGGCCCCAATCACAAGCACAGAACACTGCAACAGTGACATTTCAAGAAATAAAATTTCTGCTCCCTTTTGCCAGTGGATCCAGACTCTGAGAGCATCCCCACATCACAACAGACAACATGTCAGTAGCGCAAACGCCGTTTGTGTGTTGCATATTTCATAATGAGCATTTAATGTTCATATATGCAGCTTGATACATGCTCCCACACCGGTCGGGTGTGGGGACACCGGAAGGATAGATGGTTCACTTCCACAATTGGAGATGCGCACCTTGAATGTCCAATCTACATTGGCGTTCTTCTCGACCAGTAGTTTTACAATATCGACATGGGCCTCTTGTGTCGCAAGTGTCAAGGCTGTGCTACCATCCTGCATTGTGGCACACACATGCACCAGGAAATCGTTACTGGTATCTTCAAGTTGCCAGGATGGCGTTCTGTCAAGTTCAGCACAGCTAATCGAAGCAGGGCAACCCGTTGAACATCTGCCAAATGCATCTATGCCCAAAGCACAACTACAAACAATGCCGAAGAAAGGCACAACAGATAAAACGATCCTGGCATTTCCTTCCTTCACATCATCCACTGCATACTTTTGCGTTTACCACTAGGGACGCCTGCCTCACCTGTCTTTGCACATTGACATTTGCCCCATGTCCAATCAATGCGGCCACAGCTTCCTGGTGGCCTTCAAAAGCAGCACACATGAGTGGAGTGTCCCCAAGCTGCGGAAAGGTTCAGCACAGGACATTCTGTTGTCAGGAGAGCCAAAGCCCCGCATTTTGAAGTTGTTGATTGTCTGAAACTGGAACAATGCAATTAGGCCAAATGGCATGACTAATCACAGCCAAGTTGCGGCGCAGATCACAGGGTCTGCTGCTGATCGTGTGCATGCATCAGTCAGAAATGCTGAGTGCTCGTTGAGCCTCCCAGGTCGATGTCAGCGCACTGAAGGTGGGTGAACAAAGTTGTGGCAGACAGCAACAAATACAACCAAATCAGAATTTCGTCAAAGGCGGCAGTGCTATCATAGCCCAACCAGCAATGATTCTGTTTCCCCTAAAGGGCGCTGCAGAGCAATATTTGTTTTGAAACCAAGCAATTGTCAATCTTAACCTGAATGACACTGAGTCCAGCTGTTCAGCATCACATGGTTTTCTGCTCAGCATTTGGTGTATATACAACTGCAACAGTATAACGTTCATTGACGTTGAGGTTTCTTCACGTTGTTGCCGAAGGTGGAGGAGCCACCAGCAGTTTTGCAGAGAACCAATACACATAGCACAGATCTGCGCAGGAAAACAGCACACTATGAATCATTCTATGGCTGCAATCAATGCACACTACCTTATCGGGAGCATCAAGATTGGCTCCATATTCATTAAGAGCATGCACAACTGGCGTATGATTCCTCATGGCAGCATAAATCAGGGCAGTTCCTCCACTCTGTGCGGCCACAAACTGACATCAGATACCTTCGGGTGCATAGTAATTGTGCAGCCCCTGATGGTGTGCTGCCGTTACTCCCAAGCGGTGATGGCACCATGGTAAACCTTGATGGCACCTTGGTTGCTGGGTTGCAAATTGTGCCCATAAACCCTTTAGGACGTTAGTTTAGTGTTTTGTCAATTCTAACAAATGCCGTACACATATAGTAGAATTCATGGACATGGCACAATTTAAAGCCCAAACAGCCGTTGCGCATACCTGAGGGACTAGCCAGACAAATGCTTCGAAGCATATGGCATACTGTCCATTCTGTCTTCAACGATGCTGGCGTCATCTAGGACATATAAATGTGCCCATGTGGGAATATCATTGCGCAGCATCCTTGAATGACAAATACTATGCTGGAATTCAACAAGCCAACAAGAATTACGCACTTTCCGACACGACCTGAATGCAGGATTGTGCTACGATACATTCATTAGTGAAGACGATATGTCGATTTGGAACGCTTAGAGTCAGTTTGAGGTTAAGGTCAGACACCCCGCCCCCCTTACCGTCAATTTGACGCTAAGCGTACCAAAACCTACATAGTATCTTCCCCCCGGATGTATCACATATAGCGGTCAAATACTTCTTCCAATGCGTCAGCTCAGCCTGCATCATTATTGCCCATCGATACGGCTTGTGCACAGATCGAATTATGCACCAGATGTTAACAATTGGTGTCTCTTGTTTGCCAAAGGCAACTTTCTCCAGTCACCAGTACATCGTGCCAATTTAGGAGACGACTGCCATTTCTCAGTTTGGAATGCCAACTGTGTTGTCAAATCCAATGTGCCATAATAGCCTTGTGTGGGGTCGGCAGTCAGTCACAGTCACCAATACCCGAGGATACTGCAGTTCAGTCGTGGCCACAAGTACCTCACTCCTAGCCTCCGTGTCTGCGTTCCTGTTAAGGAGAGCAACAGCGACATTCTGATGCCCATTCAATGCAGCATACATCAGGGCTGTCATGCCATCCTATTCAATCCACACAAAGTCAGAACGTGCGGTGCCTGGGAGCAGCAGATAGCAGTCATTCCGCGGCCTGACCACGCCCTCTCACCGTCTCGCCAACAGACCACCCACAGTTGACCACTGTGGGTGCACAGATTTCCACTGTTTCAGACGATTCATGTTGGGTGCGCACAAGAATTAAGAGGGGGGTAGCTGCACTCATAGTGCCCACAGCTTCTCCAAATCAAGTTCCAGAAGGCAACATTGTCCAGAACGACTATCCGGAGCCCATGCCGCAAGTCCATGGCGAGCCGTGAACGGGAAGCTGCAATGACGAAGAAGGGTTGAATGATGACAGCCTTCGATCAAAGGAGATCAAGAGAAGTACATAATGAGAGGAAGCAAATCCTATCTACGTCGTGCATGCGTGCAAGATGATGGGAGAAACTGCCCACATGAACTAGCTCCAATAGGCTTGAAAGTTGCTACCGTGCTGTGTGGCAAAGGAAATTGGCAAGGGAGTTGCGAATGTTGCCGAGATCTAGAGACTCGCTGCATTGGTGGTGCCCAACGAATACAAGACTGGCACATGTGTAACACATCACCTTGTTCTGCGCCTCGACGTTGGCACCGGCCTCGACGAGCAAATTGACAACTTGAGGGTGCCCCTCTTGCGCCGATATCATCAGTGCGGTCCATCCGTCCTTCGAAAGCAGGTCACAGCAAACGTATTGATAAATGCGTTAGATCAAAGACATGGGAGTTGGACGGAGCAGTCTGCATTAGAACAATCGTATGCCAGCCATTTCCCAGCTGCACCTTGCTTTGGTTTTGAAAACAACAAACATGAAGATATAAGAACATGTGCCAATCCCATACATCATTGTACTTCTCATTGCCAGGTGACATCCGCCACAAGGCAAAAACGAAAGCCCTTTCAACATACTGGCCATGTCCGGCGATGGTTCCAAGCACATTCGCACAGAGCAAAACATACAAGATGGCCTGCTGAGGGAGAAGCACACTCACCTTGTCATTTGCGTCATAATTCGCCCATCGTGAAAGCAGACATTGCACCACCTCAACTTGCCCTTTTGCTGCTGCAAGCATAAGGGCGGTCCAACCATCCTTTTGCAGACAAGGACTGGGCGGTTAGTTCATGGCGTGAACTTCATGCTCTTGCCTGAATGACCTCGCCATTCACCCAATGGCTTTAACTAGGGCACAGTATGTGATTCATCAATGGATAAAGTAGCGATGACAAGCTACTTGTGTTGGTGCAGCTTTGGACAACCCGGTGGGCAATTACAACCCATATGGGAGCCGAACAACTCCTGAGTAAAAACAGAAACATCCATCCCAGCTTCGAAGCAGTGGTACGCGTTTTGTCTTGCCACCATGCCTTGGGCTTCAGCATTGGTGCAGAACCTCAAGACTTGTGCCACAGCTATTATTTGTCCAGCTGTGTGGAGTAGAGTGCACTGCACAAAATTATACCATGCTTACATTAACGTGGCTACAGTCCACTGTTCTAAACGAAATACCAGATGCGAAACATCACACCACCCCTAAGCTCTTGCCACCTGCCGTGTACACAGTCGTTGGTGAACAGTGTGGAAATGTCATCTTTCATGCCTTTCTGCTCATGCACACAACTATCAGGTGTGTTGAGAAACTGATGCCGGGGGCTGCTACTGCCGGGTAATCTTGAAAGATGTTGCAAGGCATATGCACATCAGACAGCTGCTCGACAGTGCACAGCATCATCGCCCTCATGGCAACGAGGTCACACGTACAAGACAGGTTGCACTCCCTCAGAGCTTTCAACCATCTGCATGTTCCTCTGCACACAACTATCGATTGAACGCACTGTGCGCACCACAATTATCATTTGGACCCTTTTAAACACAATGAGAGCAGCATCCGCCCTGGTCACACCCACAGGGAGATATAGGCGAAACATCCCAACCTTGCAACGGGCCTCCACATTGGCTCTATAGTTCAGCAGAGCACTCACAACTCCAATATGACCTCCACGTGCAGCGATCATGAGAGCATTCCAGCCCTTCTGAAAACAAAAGAGTTGCAGATCTTGGCGTTTAATACCGCTGTCACATGCAGCAATGTCTCTCCAAGCTTAAAGAACAAGATCAAGCACCGCAACGCCCAAACAATGAGGGTGCTCTTGGTGTGTTACTCACATAGCAACTGGTAGTGGTTGAGCTGCTGATGCAAACAGAACAGTCACGGCAATTGGCTTATGAAACCTTAAAGGGGCACTGTAGAGTTGGTGAATCAGACAAATGCGCAAATTGGATGGCCACACGAGAAACTGCGCAGGACATACAGAGCCCTCCATGAGCCTTTCATCTCCGCGAACTTCCAAGCGCACCACTAGCTGATGAAGGAAACTGCCCAAAAATTGGCGTGCTGCCGTTGTCTTCATTTTCATCCAGAACTGCAGAATCAACTGAGGCAAAGATGGGAAGGATAGTACTTTCGTACAGTCCACAACAGCAACAATTGCCGGTGACCTCACCATGTCATGCACCCTCAAGTCTGCCCCTTGAGCAAGAAGAAAGGCTGCAATTTCAGTGTGCCCTCTCTCTGCTGCGCTCAGCAGTGCTGTCCAGCCATACTGCAAGATATAGCTACAAACTGTCAGATACTGAAACAGTCGAACCTGGCATGTTGGCTGGGGTGATATCGCTACCAACCTGCGCCATTCCAACGAGCATACGATTGCAAATTCAGCTCCACTGCGTTTCGCATCAAGGGCCTAAGAGTTTTTGCTCCATGTTTCTACACAGCGTATTATTCTCTTGACTTTGCACAGCATTTTTCCGGCAAGCAATCGAAAATAGAGGCGAGCGGTTTGGCAAATGTTGTGACAAGCAAATGGGTAAACTTGCACGCCCTTTTCCTGCTCTTACTGGGACACAGTCAAGGCTTGCAGACAGAATGGTTTCCGTGGTGGTGCAGTCTGCATGAAAGTCCATCCTTCCTTTTCAAGCTGATGGTCGTGTGAGTCCGCAAAGGCAGTGTTGTGTGAGACTATTGCGTTGTACTATGTGGTTCAATATTAAATTGGCCCTGCAAGATGTTGCGCTGTAAAAGGTTTTATTCACTGCGACAAAGGTACATAGGCAGAATGCTGACACTCGACATTGCTACATCATAAAGCCAATTGTTCCCAGGATTTTGAAATTCCGAATCTGCTCTGTATGTTATTTGAATAATTGTTAACTCCCATGTTCAATACCTGTGAACGCCCCACATAGCATGAAGTGCAGCAACATACTCATGTTCTGGCAGATATAACAAAGAATTTCACCGCGGGCACGGAAACATCACCCTGGCTACTAATAATGCCATGCGCTAGCAGCAAAAGTTGTGGCCATCAATCTACTATGAAAGGCGCACAACAGCCTTGCAATTACGACAATATACAATTCATAACTTGTTGCTCATGCCTGCAATGCCTAAGAAGTCAAAACAGCCTATAACAAACAATGATCAGCAGCCATATCAACAATGCTACTTTAGTCAGCTTACACAACTGGATAATTTAAACTGAAACACTTAAGAGACGGGTCAAATGCCCTGAGCAGAAGACACATGCAATGTTCCCATTCCGGCTGGTGCCTGCCAGTGGGTCTGCCTGCCACATGACAGCAACCTCCTGAAAAACTTTCAACATTACCGGTGCACCCGGAGGTAATGTAAAGGAACACAAGAATACGTGATGGCTGAATGGGTACATCCTGACAGCAACCTTACCCTTCCCCGAACATCAACATTGGCACCACTGTTGTAGAGCGCTTTAACTATTTCCAAATGCCCTTCTTGCGCAGCAAGCTGCAGGGCGGTGTAGCCATCCTGCAGGTATCACACACATTAAGGACACTCAATCAAGCAAGCACATTTGAGGTAAGCATGTAAAACAATCAGCTTCAACGGTCCAGCTTAACAAAAGAAAATGTTCGCAGGGTGGGATGCGTGTCAGGAGCAGGTGAGATCGCAAATCGACGTGTGGTGTTCAGTTGAACATTTATGCCGTGAGGCATCCTGTTTTCTGCCTTATCCAATTAGCGCCTGCCAAGTCCAACCGACAGGAACCTTGTCCTGAAGCAGTGCATATCGGGATATCTTTGTGCAGTGCACATCCATCCAACATCTGCTCTGTTGGGAACAAGTCACATCTGTCGTCATCAACTACAATACGGTGCAACACTGTGCAGAGTAGACAAATGTCTTGAAGAGACAAACAAGCAACCGGCAAAAGAGACGTTTGGCCACATCGCTCCGTTCTGTACATTGCCTACAGTTGCAGTTGTTGTTAAGCCATGTATTGCCAACTGGCACGTGCCGCACCTTGTCATCCGTGCCCTCGACATCAGGCGTCCTTTCCAGTAGCCGGTGGACAATTTCAAGGTGACCGTGCAGCGCAGCACACATAAGGGCAGTGGTGCCATCCTACATTGGGGCAAACAAAGTCTCAGCAACAAACTCTGAGCATTCATGGCCCTTCAGCAATGCGGACTGAATCTATTTCAGATGTACGCTGCCGGCACCACAAATTCATTTTTCAACAAGGACTTCGCCAACATTTTTTTTGTTGCCTCCACACCTGACCTCTCGTACCTGCACATCGGCATCAAAATGGCACGGTGCCAGAAAATGATCAGTTGTCACAGTTTGTATTGCTCATATACTCCTAACCTGACATATGCTAACAGCCAGACACTGGTGACACTGGCGACACTGGTGTATTTACGCTTATGAAAAGACAGGAGGTGTGCCTCCAAGTTCAACCACAACAGGCAGCCAAACTGCATACAGCGCCATCTTACATCTGTTCGGACATCAACGTCAGCCTCGTTCTCAAGGAGAATTTCAGTTACGTTTACTTGACCCTCCTGTGCAGCCAAGATTAGCGCAGTGTGACCATCCTGTGGAAAGCAACGGGAGGGCAATCAATCACGAGAGTGGTTAAATTATGCTTCGACGTCATTTGTGACGATTGGCCAAACACCGCACTTGTACCTTCCAGACACACACCTTGCACAGCCCCAGAAATTTCAATAGCTTTGCACAATGGCCAAATGGGCCAGCTGTATTCCAAATTCAAAATATTCCAATCTTAAAGCCACCAACTTCTTATCATACACAAAGAAGCGAAGGACAACTAAATCAGCTCTAAGTGCTCAAACCAATGTCAGCCTTTGACTTGTCGCTGCACTGGCAACAGCTGACCACAACTTTCTTGCGGTGTTCTCAAACAACAACGTATCTCCCTTCCCATAGGATCCCCGCCACAAAAGCCCACCAAGGCATCACATGCTCGATGGTTTCCCATCACAAATTTCATCCTTGAGCCCCATTGTTCCCATACCCCCAAAGGCACATTCAGTCATGATTTCTGATGTCAGATTTGAATGTGCAACATCCTCAACATGAAGGACGTACACCACTACAACATTGAATCTCGCATGCCCAGTGCAAACTCAGATGGAATGTGTGAACATGCATGTGACTGCAGCTAAAGCAGGACAAGCTTGGCAGCATGGGTTCGCCACTTCCAAAAGGTCTCTAAGCAGCCACGTTCTGCAATCAAATACATAACATCAAATACGCGAAATTCATTCATTCAAAGGTGGGATAAATGCTGTGACAGTGGCAGCCTCAAACAATATGACCACTCCCAACATGTGCAGGCAGGGGCATTTGATATGTGTGGTACCTTTGCTCTGGCTTCAATATTTGCGCCTTGATCAAGCAGAGCA